GGCAGCTCGGCTTTAAACAGAGCAGAAGAGTCAAGGTAGGGAGCACAGCAGCCGCGGGAGGGGAAGTGCCCGGCCGGCGGTATTTTTCCCGGACATGTTTGGCTTTTTGGCAGTTTGAGTACCAAAAAGCCAGACATGTCCGGGGAAAAACGGATCTCTGGTAACCCTAAGATGGCAACCCTATTTCTCTTCCCCTGATCAGGCCCCTCCCCTCCGTCATTTCAGGCCCCTCCCTCTTCTTCTTCCCGGACTAGGCCCCACCCTCACCCATTTCAGGCCCGACGTCTCGTTGCCCTGCGCGGCCGGAAGTTGCGCTGCTACGCGCGATCATGGCGGCAAGGCGGTTTCCGGTGAGCCAAGGCTCCTCCTCCCGACGGCGGCAGCGGCGGCGGCGCTGGGGCCGGCCGGTTGGTTGCGCTGCTTTCCCGGCAGCTCCTGTGCTTGGGCAGCGCCGTTCGGTTGCCGGAGCGGGCCGCGCTCCTTGTCTTCCTCCCCGTGTGGCTCCGCGCTCAGGCCCGGGAGGACGGACTCCCCCCTCGCCCCCTCCCACCCTCTCCGCCCCGGGCGGCGGCGGAGGAGGCGGCGGGGACCGGCCAGGCAGCGGAAGGAGCAGGTGAGTGTGGCGCCCCGGCGGGGAAGCCGGGCCTGGGCGGCCGGGGGAGGGGCGGAGCGGGGAACAGGCCCTTCTCCCACCGCCGCGAGGAGCAGGCCGGCGGGGCCCCGCATCCCCGTGCGGGGGCGGGGGGGCTCGGTGCTGGCAGAGCCTCCCCACCCGCGCTGCCATCCTGCGCCCCGCGGCCCGGGCAGAGCGGCTGCAGAGGCCGGGGGTCACGGTGGGGCCGCCGGAGGAAGCGCTGGGCTGAGGGGCTGTGACTTGTGAGGGCAGCGCGGCCGAAGGGCGATGGTAGGTGATTCCCGGCGGGGAGGGAGTCGAAGAGTAGCTGGTCGGGGGTGCGGGTTGTACCAGGCGATGGGGGGGTGGGGATCGTGATGTAGGCGGGAGCGGATCGGCCCCAGGCTGTGGGGGCGTCTCTGCCCTGGCGCTGAGATGGGTATGGGGTGTGTGTGTGTGGGGGGGGTTTGATCTGTGAGGAGAAGCAGGAGGAGAGCTGTGGGTCAGGGCACCGATCAGCCAGCGAGTCTGCTACACTTGAACTGCCAGCTAGACCTGCCATCCTACCATGATTACCATCTTCTGTGGTTGATGCTTTACAGACGGGAACCCTGTTGTGGGCTTCTCATTGCCTCCCACACGCGTGATCTCTGTCCTTTGTGGGTTTCAGGGTACTGGAGTCCCCGTCACGTCTGCTGATAGTAGTGAAATGTAATCAGCCTTTTTAGCTGAATTTGGGACTTGTCAGCCCTTGTACCATAAATCCTGAACCTTGGTGCTTTTGCCTTTTCTTTAAAGACTTCTGTCATTGATGCCCATGCAGAACTTGTAGTTTAGGCCAGTGATTTTCAAACTTTTTTCCCTGTGACCCAGTTGAAGAAAATTGTTGAAGCCCGTGACCAAACATTATATCTTTTCACTAGAGTTTTCATAAAACCATAATATTACAATACATTCCAGCTTAACCCACTTTACATAACTAACACTAGAACATTAGCCTTAGTAAGCCTATGGTAAGGAGAGTGGGAGGTGGCCCAGGGTAGGGCAGAGGATGGTGTGTGGGGGTGAGGGTTGTGGGGTGGGGCCGGGGATGAGTGGTTCAGGATGCAGGAGGGGGTTTAGGGCTGGGGCAGAGGGTTGGGATGCGGGGGTGGGGGGTGAGGGCTCTGGGGTGGGGCCAGGGATGAGGAGTTCAGGGTGCAGGCAGGCTGCCCCAGGACTGGGGCCAGAGGACTCCCCCCAGCCCTCTCCCCACCAGCAGCAGCTAGCTCTGGGCGAGGGGCCTCTCTCTCTCCTTGCTGGCAGGCAAAACGGAGCTCCGGGGGAAGGGGCTCTTGTTTCCCCCTGCCAGCAGGCAGCATGGAGTTCCGGGGGAAGGGTCCCTCTCTCCCCAAGGGCAGCAGTGAGCTCCGGGGCTGGGAGAAAGGCCTGCAATAGCCCTGCAAGCCCCAACTTGCGCCTCTCCCCAGTTCCAGCCCACCTCCTACCTCTCTTCTCTCCAGGTTCCTGCTGCATGGCAACGATCTTTATAATTTTAATCAGCAAGGCGACGCAATGCCTGACATTCCGCGACCCAGTACTGGGTCGTGACCCATACTTTGAAAACACTGGTGTACGCTGATGACCCAGATCCTCAAAGGCATTTAGGTGCCTGATTCCCATTGAAATCAACAGGAGTCGGGTGCTTACATATCTTTGAGGATATGAACCTGTGTGACTAGTATTATAGATTCTTCATTTTGTCCCCAGCATCACACCTAGGGATCTCTACTGGATCCTCACTAGACCTAGACCATTGCTTTTTTAGATTGGACTGCTTCAGGACCTTTTGAAGTCTAGATTCTACGGTACAGTAGATTGTGTGCTACTGAATGGAACGTGATGGGAACTGGCTGGTTGCATTTAAAGACAAAGGGCTTGTCTTCACTACAGGGCTAGGTCCACCTAAGATGTTACGCTAGTAACTGGAGTTGATGTAGCTTAGGTCAATTTACCATGGTGTCTTCACTGCGCTGCCTCGACGGGAGAGACTCTGGTTGATCTACCTTAATCTTCTTGGGGAGCTGGAATAACGGGGTTGACCATTGATTTAGCGGGTTTTCACTAAATTGATCCCAGCAGCGTCAATCTCCCCGTAGTGAAGACCAGGCCTTAGTCTGGTAAAAGTTGTTTTGGGAAGTGGCTCCCTACCTTTTCAGAGAAAATGTGAAATACCATGCATATAAGACAGCATCCGTACTTTTTTTTTTGTTTACCTTTTTCTGTAATCTTAGGGACTGAATTGTTGCATTTTACCAAAAGCTGGCTAACCCCAGTTCACAAATGTAAACACATTGCTGTCGATTACTTACCATTACTGGTTTATACATTTAAGGTGATAAAGGAATGCTTTGTGTTAAATAAGAGGTGTAGTTAACTTAAATAAGAAGACATGGTCATAGCAGAGGGTTGTAAAATGCCAGACACAAGTTTTCATTTGCAGCTTGAAGACTGGTAATTTGGTTTTACTTTTATGTAGACATTACAGTTTTTGTATGTTATGTATCTGAAAATTGGCCATCTGAATATTAATATACAACATTTAACCTTTTTTTTAGCACTCTGTGTGGCAAAATGTGTCATTTATCTCTTAATGACATTAGTTTGCTATATTCCAGAATATTGTAACATAATCATTGTACAGTTAAATTTTTAAAATATTTTCAATTTTAAAAAAGACATATTTTCTAATGGGATATTATTTATAGCAGCGGTTCTTAAACTGTGGGTTGGGATCCCAAAGTGGGTCACAACCCCATTTTCATGAGGTCGCCAGATCTGGCTTAGACTTGCTGGGGGCCAGGGCCCAAGCCCAAGCCCGAGCGCTTCAGCCCTGGGTGGTGGGTAAGGTTACAGGCCCCCTACCTGGGGCTGAAGCCCTTGCACTTCGGCTTTGCAGTGGGGCTTTGGTTTTGCCCCCCGCCCTGTCCCCTGCGTGGTGGGGTTTGGGTGGTGTCAGGCTTCGGTCCCACCTCCTGCGGTGTAGTCTCCTTCAAGAGTGTAATAAAAAACAATGATTTAAAAAAAAATAAAAAAATAGATTTTTATTTAAATTTAATTTTTATTTAAATACCATCTTATTATTTTTTTTAAAAACTATTTAAAATTAAATGTGAAATTATGTTAATTTTTATTAAGGCCTACATTTATTATAATATATTAAAATAAATTAAATATTAAGCAGTACGTGTTTGCTATAGAAGAAAGTCAAACCACTGAACTGGTGGAAATCACTGACTAAGCACCGAGAACCAGAGTTGTTGAAGTACTAGACCAGCTTTTGACAGCAGTCGTCTCTTCTGTAGGTGTAGAGAGAATGTTTTCTTCATTTTAGTTTATTCAACTAGTTCAGTTCAATGACTATCTTGAACGACATGGTAACCAGAAACAATCAGTTCAGTTCACTAACTACAGATAATACTTGCTTTGTTTAATAAATCAGTTCTAAATGCAAAACATGTTTTGGTAAACTTTTTTCTTACATACTCAGTACCTGTAAGTTAATTTATTAAACTAATTTAAAAAAAAAAACAAAATGCTCTTTCTGCGTTTAATTGAATTTGTTTTCATCCAAATAGTTTGACACAATTCATAAGTTTAAAAAAAAAATCATCTAATAAACAAGAAATGCATTATTCACCATTTTCTAACATCATAAAAAGGTAAAAAATAAGATTCCAAATAAACGGAAGTTAAACTATATACAGTAAAAGCTATGTTATCCGGCACTTTGCCAACTGGAAAGCTCTAGCAACTGGCATTTCGGGAGGGGGTGCGGGGCGGTATCTCTGGGAGGGAGTTTGGGTGCAGGAGGGTCTTGGGGCAGGGGGTTGGGGCGTGGGGGAAATTTTGGGGTGCGGATCTGGCCGGTGTTCACCTTGGGCCCCTCCCTGCAAGTGGTGACATGTCCCTGCTGCCGCTGCCCCCACCCTGAGCACTAGCTCCGCAGCTTCCATTGGCCAGGCACTGCGGCCAAGGGGAGCTGCGGGGGCGGCGCCTGCAGGCAGAGGCAGCGTGCAGAGCCACCTGGCCACCCCTCAGTCTAGAGCAACAGGGACATGTCGCTGCTTGCGGGGAGCTGCCCTAGGTGAGCACTGGCTGGATCTGGCGCCCCGTCCCGTGCCCCAACCTCCTATCCTGAGCCCCCTCCTGCATCCAAACTCCCTCTCTTAGTTAACTGGAATTTTTGACTTACCAGCACTTCCCATGCCTTTAACATGCTGGATAACAAAACATTTACTGTAACAGCTTAAATAAGTGTGTATAGATATAGTGTATCCTTCTGGAAGCACCAAATTTTGTGTAAAGGCTGTATTTACTTGGAAATCAACATATTTTAATGGTTACTAGCTAATGAGACTCAACCTTTCTTTAGGAAAATAATTAAAAAATACAAATGCAAAACAACATTAAAATCGATTATTTAAATTAGGGTTTCTTACTTTTTGATTTAAATCACTTTGATTTAAATCATTCCACCTGTTACACATTATCATTAACAGAAGTATCAAGGAAAATATTACCCAAACATCATTATTTGTATTGTTGTGGGGCCTGGGAGCCACAGTCATGGATCAGGACCCCCAAAAAAACAGAACAAAAAGACAGTCCTTGCTTCAGAGAGCTTATGCTCTAACTATAAGAAAGAGACAACAAATGGATACAGATGCATTGTTGGGGGAGTACATGTTAATTCATTTGCAATATAGTAATACAATGAATTCTGTTCACTAAATGTTATCTGTCATGCATTTGAAAAAGCTTCATTAATAATAAGCCACCTTTTGTACTGCAGAGTGGTATAGAAATATCTACAAGAGAATAAGGTATAATAGTGTTGATAGTGTATTCTTATTTTTTTATAGTGCCGCCTTTGGATATTATATACATGTAGGGGGAAAAAGGCAGTTTAAATAATACAATTAACCCTGTAAATTGATTAAGTATTATAAAATTGATTTCCCTGTCCCATTTTCATTATTTTTTTTCTGTGATATTCATTAATAGTGGTAAGATGTCATGGAAGTTGCAAACTTCTAAATATTCCTAAATGTATTTAGTTTCTAAGTTATGTCACTGAAATAAATAATTAACAATTATTCCTTCTAATTACATTAATTTAAAAAAGATATTTCCCAATTTTGTGCATTTAATGTATTTATTGACTGAGTTGGTAACTGTTGAGTGCTTACGGCTCCATCTTCACTGGGGCTCAATTAACATTTGCTGAACAAGTTAAAAGTTGAAAGAGGAGACACAGAAGCAGACCAAATGGGATTAGGAGTCTGAACTGCATTGGTGATCATTGTAGGACTGATTTTTTTGGACTGTGGTCAAGCAAGTATAAGAGCACTTCTTAGAGAAACCTAGGAAGAATTAAAGTAATTTGCTGAATTTTATGGGGACATTACATTTCAGTTGCTCTTGGCTATCTGTTAAATTGTTGGCCGAGAGAGTCAGAAATAAAACTTCCCCCTTAAAATTTTGGAATCCTTCCCTCCCTCTGCCTACACAAGAGTGCATATGGAGGGAGGCAAAGGGAATGTTCCTACTCTTGCCACAACATAGTCAAAAAACAATTTCCCTCACTACTTGCATGTAAAATATCAACTGTATTTTATGCTTTTAATTTCCGTGGTTGTTGAAGAATAAAAAAATAGTGATTGTGCATTCAAATAAATGCATTCTACTTAATTTCATAAATGTGTGTTCCAGTGTACTTAGTTCTCAGATATACTTGTCTCTGTCTAGATAACCATGCCTGGGCCCTGATCCTGCAACTGGCTCCAAATGCATGGATCCCCATGGAAGTCAGTGGGCCTTTACTGTAGGTCAAGGATCTGACCATTCAGATCTGTTTTCAGAGGATTGAGACTCTTATGTGCACTTTGATGGTCCTTGAAAGCAACATGCTGTGCGCTCATAGCATGCTGTTTTCGCTTGGAATGGTTTGTCTCACCAATTTTTTTTTTTCGTTAGCAAAGTACATGATTCTCATTGACAGCTGGATACGTGCCAAAATTTAAAAATGGAATCAATCTTATGTTATCTGAACACATGCATACAAAACTCCATTTAAAAAAAAAAAAAACTTGGTGAAGTGTGAAAACACTTTTTCCATGTTCAGAAAACTCAAATGGCTGAATGGAATTTAACTAAAAATTCTTTTTGGTTCAAAAGAGTATGAAGAAATTACAGTCCAAAGTGTAATTTTTGTGTGAAGGTTACTCATAAGTACGCTATTCTTATCACAATACTATAAAAGATCTATCCTTTTAAAATTGACAATCATCTTAACTTTTCTGTGGCAGTGAATTCCAAAAGTCTACTAGTTGTTGAGTAAAGAGTAAATTTAAAATAACCAGTTCTGTTTGTTGCCTTTGTTTTTTTGAAAATAAAGGGGCATTCTTGTTATAAGGCAAGATGAATGGGAACTCCTTATCAGTGTGTTCCTATTCCATATATCATTATATATTTTACTCACCTTTCATATGTTCACCCTCTCCCCTTCCCATGCCGTCTTTAGTACTGTTCTAAACTTTTCTGTTTCAGATGTCTCTTTTAAGCCTGTGAAAGTGAATGCAGTATTTGATGTGTGGTCTTACTGTTAATATATACAATGCCTTTTTAATATATTCTGTATTCTCTCCCCCCCCCCCACCTCCGAGGATCTAATAGCATGGTACCTTAAATTAGAGTGAACGAAACACCTGGGTAAACTGTAGGGAACAACCTTGAACTGGAAAGGAGCTGGGCTAGTCTAGACTTGATGTTTTACTCTCTAACTTTGACAGTTTATCTTTAGACTTTTTAACCATTGCTGCACATTGAGCTATCCACAATGACTCCTAATTATTTTTCTCAGAAGACTGGGCTAATTTGAACTCATCGTCTATATACAAATTGAAATAATTTATCCCGTTGTGCATTACATTGCATTTATTTACATTTCATTTGCTGTTATATATTGCTCAGTCTTCTAGCTTCAGTAGAACTTTCTGGAGTTCCTCAATATTCTCCACAGTTTTTACTAACCTAAATAACTTCTTGTTACTGGCAAGATTTACTATTTTGCTGTCTTACTTCACCCTTCAAATCATTAATAAATGTTAACCATTGTTTCTAATCTCTGGTACATCCTACAATTAACTTCTCTCACAGCATGTAGCAACGTTGCACATACAATAAAAACGTGGTAATGTGAACATTGATTATCTGAAAGAATGTTATGTCCCAAGCAAAGATTTGAATAAATAGTCAGGGGACTGGGAAAGCCTCTTGCAGAGCCCTAAGCTGTCTCCTGCAGTTTATAGAAGGGTTAAAGAGCTTCAGGACTTCAGTGAATAGTTTTCTACAGAGAGAACATTGTGTGAAGTCAAAGCTCAGGGAAAGAGCCAACATTCAGATAACGAAGTCTCAGTGTAGTGAAGAAATCAAGAGACATTGTCAGAGGTGCCAGATCCAAAATGTAGGTTACATCAGTGGCATTTTTTTTCTTACGTAATGCATTTTTCTTAAAACTGGTTGTGGATTGTTTTCGCACAAACTGGCTTGCCCAAGCTGATTTTTTCTGTATAAATTGATATCGCTTAAACAAATGGAGAATCTTTTTGGACTCAGTTCTTCTTCCTTTGTAGCCTGTTTCTCCTGCCTCATATCCTCCTCTCCCCTTATAGCTTCCCTCCTTGCTCCCAGGTAAGACAGATTATGGCTAGGAAGATTTGTCAAGCATAAGGTGTATCTGTTTGCCAAATGTATTCAGTTCTTTTAGTGATCAGAAGGATTTCAGAAGTACATCAGTATTCTTTCTTTAAAGCTCAGCAGTTGCAAACAGTCATACAATTACTAGCCATGCTCATTGTGCATGCTGGTTTAAGTAGGGGAGGGGAGAGGAGAGGAGAGGATGGGTGCCAATAAGTTCTCATAAACAGTGAGGGGAGCAATGGGAATTCCTTAGAAAAGTACGTTGCCAAACTCTGAGCCCTCTTTACCAGTCAAACCCCATCTCTGGAAAGAGTGGTTAAATACCATTCAAAGTGCTCTTTACACTTGAAATCACTGAGGTAATGGCCAAACACATGTGCCCAAAGAAAGCAGCTGTTCTGTATATTTGCTGCCTGAATGAGCAGAACAGCATCTGATGTTCTCCCAAAGGGGGATGTTGGGGAATCCAAAGCAGGTCCATAAAATAAAATTAAAAACTTTCATTGTTGGTGTTCAGTTGACTAGTTTATACCAATTTTATTAGTAATCAAAGGCATCTCTTTAGTCAGGTACATTCCATTTATTTATGATTCTCCTATTCCTTTATTCGTCACCTGTCCTGTAATTTATAGCATAATATATTCTTTTTACTTGTGAATTCAGTGACAATAGCTCCAAACTAAAGGATTTTACAGTTTTGCTTTTTTTTTTGGTTGAAGTAGTACAAAATGTCAAAAATTAGAAGGAAGGTCACAGTGGAAAATACCAAGACCATATCCGATAGCACATCCCGAAGACCCAGTGTGTTTGAAAGGCTTGGACCCAGCACTGGAAGTACTGCAGAGGTGAGTTGTAAAAGTGTTCTCTTCCTTCCCACCCCAGCATCATCTCTTCCAGGACATAAGTAGTGGGGTAGAGTTGTTCATGAGTACTGAATGAATATTCAGTCATTAGTGATGTTAGTAAAGGTAAAGAGAAGACATTCACACATAGATGTTCAAGATATTAATCTTTAGATTTTCAAATTACTTGTGGTGTTCCAGCTTCTAGTGAGGAGCGGTAACAATGTACATTTACTAATATTTTTATAAACCTAAATTTATCTGGCAGACTTAATGCTCATTGTTGGTTTTTAATGAAGTAAATTACTGGTGGATGGAAATCTCAGATAAATGGGAGTAAATGTGGACTCATTTGTTTGTTCTGCCACACTCACACCAATGGTATTTCCAGAAATGAGTGTGAAATTCACCTAGTAATGTCTGTCTCTTAGACACAGTGCCGTAACTGGCTGAAGACTGGCAACTGCCTCTATGGGAACACATGTAGATTCGTACATGGCCCTTCACCACGAGGTAAAGGCTATAGCAGCAGTTATAGAAGGTAAATCAAGAACTCACTTTGAATTGTTCACATGCTGTAGGAAAATAGCTTTTTCAAGTATGTCTTCTGTAAAAATTTTAAATGCTGTGGTGTGCCTAATGGTATGTTTTATCAATAACCTTATTGGATTGTGAAGCTGCTGAAAACAAATAACTTGGCAAGATGCAGTGGGTTTTCCCTGGATTTTCTTGTGTGTGTAACTTTAAAAAAGAATTAATAAAGTGCTCTGGATGCAGATTAATTTCTTTTGCACAATAGTGTTTTAACCTGCCTTGAAATGGGACATGCAAGTACTTTAATAAATGGATTTTTGTGTAGTGTGTCACTGCAACTTCTGTCTGCCTCTCTATCCTCTACTAAAATGCTGTTTTGCAACTGTTTAAGGCAATACTCTCAAAATCACAGCCCATATCCCTTTGCCTTCACCAGTAACAGTATTTTTGTTGGTGTGTGAGGTGGCTGTTCTTTTTCTCCGGTTGTGAAGAGACATGCTAGGACAGTGGCTCTCAACCTTTCCAGACTACTGTGCCCCTTTCAGGAATCTAATTTGTCTCGCGTACCTCCCAAGTTTCACCTCATTCAAAAACTACTTACAAAAACTACTTAGCTTACAAAACCAGACAAAAAAAATACGAAAGTGTCAGAGCCCACTATTACTGAAAAATTGCTTGCTTATTTATTTTTACCATATAATTATATATAAAATAAATCAATTGGAATGTAAGTCTTGTACTTACATTTCAGTGTATAGTGTATGAGAGCAGTATAAACAAGTCTTCTGTATGAAATTTTAGTTTGTACTGACTTCATAGTGCTTTTTATGTAGCTTGTTGTAAAACTAAGCAAATATCTAGATGAGTTGATGTACCCCTGGTTGAGAACCACTGTGCTAGGATAGGAAAATGTGGTTTCATGACTACCGCTACAGACAAATGTCCAGCAGAGAGATTAAAAAAATGTGCCTTTGTTGTTAAGTAAAATCAATGCACTTTATAATGTCTTATAATATACCCAGTGCTATCTTTCAAAAAGTGCACTGTGTAGTAGCATGAGTCCATGCTACCTAACCAGAACTGTATTCAGTAAGTCTGTATCATTCTTTCTGAAGGGAAAAATATGATTTAATAATTTTCACTTCAGCACCTTTCATACAAAGATGTTACAAACATTAATAATGCTTCACAATGCCCCTTTGAGGTAGAAACTAGCCTCACTTTATAGATGCATAAACTGAGGCACAGAAGTTAAGTGACTTGCTGAAGGTCAAACAGGATGTCTGGCATGGATATTATGGTTCTATTCCTGGCTCTGTTTCCCATTTCTGTGCCTTAATCTTAAAACCATCTTAACTTTCATTGCTTATAAAACTGTAGCAACTGGGATACAAAATACAGGTTATCTTTAACCTTTTTTCTCAGTATGCAAGGGAACTTACTGTAATGTTATGTGCTGAATTCTCCAAAGAGCAAAGGAAGAGAAGTGCTTTACATATAAATGATTCTAAACTTATCTTTATGTGCTGAATGTCACTTTCCCTTGCCACAGTATTTGGAGTATTGAGTGTATAGCCCTTCTTGCTCACTTTTTTTTTTTAAGCTGTTTACTTTTAATGGCTAGCAGTTTTTTTGTTTTTAATTTTTTGCTTCATATGAAGGCATGAAGTTATCACTGGTATTCAGGAATAATGTTGGTTTACATCTTTATTTATATTAACTTTTTTCTCCTATAAGTTATATGAAAGTCAAATTGCATAGCTTGCTGCTTACTGACTGTGAACTTTGGATAAGTGAGCGACCAGAGCATTTGGAAGCTTGCTTTAACTCATCTATAGGTCTTAGCAAAGCACAAAAGAGTCTGTTCTACACTAAAGAATGTTGTCATCTTCTGTATCATTTTGTATCAGGGAACATCTGTCAGACACTGTTCCAAGAACCCGTACAGTTATACTGTCTCCAAGTAAGTCTTGTAAATGCTTCCGTCTGCACTATTTCAGCTCAGACATTCAGTGCTACGCTATCTGGGAAGCCCAGATGTTATGGTTGCACTGGGTCAGTTGATCCTCTCAGTGTAGTCCCATGACTGTCTTGCAAGCAACTTTGGTAGCAGAAAACATTGCCACCTGTCCCTGCCCCTGCAATTCCAGGCCTGCCCAAAAGAAGCCACAGTGATACTTAATATATCTATCCTGACCATTACACACTTCGCAGTTCAGGCCATCCTCCTACGGTAGGAAAACAAGACACTTCTTAGCTTCTTCAAACTTCAGAAATGTTAACATAAAACTTTATTTGAACTTTAACATTCCCTGTTCTCTTCCCATGGGTCTTGGTCTGTTCGTGACAAGCACAATATAAAATAGATCATCAGACAGACACATCGACACACATACTGCATTCCTCTTGAGAAAATTAAGAATTTAATAACACACCAATAAATTACTATATGTTCGTTACTGAGGGACAAGGATGGCATCACAGTAGACAGCTGGCTGAGCCCTATCTCTGAGACATCAGAGTTACTCGACAATCCCAAAGTGAATCCTAATTCTTTACTTACCTGCTAATGGTACCTCAGTAGCCAGTTGTTTGCCACTCCTTATGTACTACCTGATGTCTGGTACACCTTGAGGGCTCATTTCATGAGGTGGGGCATGAGGTACAAGATGACTGGCTGGACTTCATTATTTTGCCTAGAGAGATGTCTTTCCTCTGTATCCTGGATTGTTACAGAGGAATCCAAGCACATAGCGTCATCAGCAGGTGTAGGGAGATCTGGTTGCCTTCTGCAATATTGTTGTCATGGAATTGTTTGAAGGCACAACCCACGCTCATTGCAAACTATGCACGCTGTACAAAACCACTCGAAACAATTGCTGGAACAAAGCACTGATGAAACCAAATACAGCATAAGGTTAACAGGTACAAATATGTGTATGATGTATTGAGAGGCACAACTAATAAGAGAGAGATGAACTGAAAACTGACGCAATCTTAATTACGGTCTCGCGACCACTCAAGCATAGTATGTGCACATAGAATATACACTATATATAAATATACATTGTGGATGTCTGTGTGTAGTTTATATATAAAATCAAACTGCTTGCATTATTGGATAGGTGCCACAATGGTGCCCAAAACAATTGGAAGGACTGTTGCGAGTGGACACATGCACTGGTTTACGCAGCTTGGTTTGTGTAGTATGAACATGTTGAATTGCTGCAGGAAGTAATGGTGCTAAAAGTGCTTAGCTGCAACATGAAACCTTGATATGGTGAAATTCTCTAGCGTAGACACAGTTAAAATATGGACCATCTGTGTATCTTATGTAAAAGTCCCTGGAGAAAATACAGGCTTACTGAAGGGTACTTTGTTAGGAATTTCTGTTTAAAATTGTTACTGGAGACAGCTGTAGAGTCCTTTGTATACTATAACATGCACACTTAATTGGAATCACCTGTGGAACTAAAACCTTACATTTAGTGTCCATAATGCAGGAATTTCTGTTTTGTGTAATATATAGAAAACTTAAGATCTTTTAAAGGAGCAAACATTATTTAAAAGAAACAACTTCCGCTGCACCAGATGAAACAGCTGCAGAAAATTTACTAGAAAATTCCAATCAGTTCGTGGGTGTTTTTTTTTTTCCTGTGCCCTAAACCAAAGTACCCAAACCAGCCAATGCCTCTTAAGCAACCACCTGCTAAGGAGAAAACCTATTAACTTAGTTTCACCAAATTACTTATTTCTACTGTCTTTATGTTGTTTTATTATTTGCAGGAGGAAAGGGTTTACCTTTATTTCACCTCCGTGTTTATCTCCCAAAGCAATAAAAGATGACAGCCACACAAGGCTTTTTTCTGCTTCTAATTTCCTGATGGCCTTCCTCATCTTAAAGTAGTTTTGAATAATGCCTAAATAAATTGAGCTGTTGTTGGTTTCCAGCTTTTTCCAACTTAGAATTGTGTATTGAGAGTGGTGGGTTTGGTGGGTTTCTCCATTTATCCTGAAACTTAAGGAGAAAGCCCTATGCATTCTAGTAGCATCAGATTCTTTCTGTTGGCAGGTACATGAGTTGCATTCTCACTAGGTTCTGTTGCTTCTCTGATTTGTCCACAGAGGGTATTATGAGAACAATGCTTCAACCAGTGGTGTTGGGGCAAAATATGTCATCTTTAGATTATGTATGTAATCTCTCTGCCATGTAAATGAAATTTGGTCAATTCCACAAGTCCTGCTCCTTCATGTAGCAAGTTTGAGATTTTTGATGGAACTGATTTTTAAATAAAATAGACACAAAGAACATTAAAGAAATACCACTTTTTGTAATGCTGAAAGCTGTTTGTGGAGGGAACAAGTAGCATATTGAGCGTCTTTGAAGAAATATTGATACAACTCAAAGGAACGTTTTTTTAGAGGATTACTTTTAAAAATGAGCGATAATTTACTTAAAACTATAAATTAAAAATATGGTGCAAGTATGCATGCTAGGAAGGTGACTTTTAATTATATTTATGTGCAGGGTATTTTGTTGATTAGTACTGCTGGGAAAGAGAGCAGATGGAAAATCCCCTGTTACGGTTGAACCTTTCCTCTGACTTGAAAATGACTTGTGTGTACAATTTTGCTGCACGTTAAATATATTTAAAAGCAGGAGGAGGATAAATAGGAGTCACTGTCCTTTCTATTGGATCTCTTTAAGATTACCTTATGGCCATGTTTAACACTTTAATGATAGAAATATTGCAGAAGAGGAAATTGAAACATAAATAACAAGGCTTCAAACAAGCAATTTTTAAAAGTAGAAGCAAATTTTATTTTTTTTCTTAAATAGCTGCATGTACGGGAAATAGACCTATTCTATAATGGGGAAACAGCCGAACAAAAAATATAGAAATCTATCATTCCTAATGACAACACAAATCCCTCTAGGAAAAAAACAAATGCCCTGAACAGTGGTTTTCAACCCCTTTTTCATTTGTGGACCCCTAAAAAATTTCAAATGGAGGTGTAGACCTGTTTGGAAATTCAACCTGTGGTCCCCTACCTTAGACTGAAAACTGGCTGAACAGAAATCAACTATAAATGTTGCATGTGCTTGGCATGGCATTTGATGCAGCGTGAGAAAGGATGCTAACCTATGGGCTTCTATGGTAACAATAACACTTCTGGGTTTTGACCTGTAGGTGGGGTTAGTCATATAGTTTTGATTAATGAGAAAAATGGAATACCTTTTCTAGGATCTGAAATTTTATTTTCATAGTCACCTTTTGCAGACCCCTTAGACATAGTCTGTGGGCCCCAAGGGGTCCGCGGACCACCAGTTGAAAACTGCTGTCCTGAAACAAATGGAAGTTTCATTATTTCAAATATCAGACAGGCTTCCTGGAGCCAGTAGTTCATCAGTATCTTTCAGTGTAGCTATAACTAAGCTGGTAAAGATATAAAGCTAATAATGTTATAGAATTATCTGAGATGAGAATCTGCAGTAGGAATTAAGAGCCATTGCAGATACACACAGTGCAGTATTCAGCTAGGTTTATTTGGTGAGAACAATAGATGGCTTTTAACTTGAAAGGCCGTGCCTTATATCGATACAAGGTATTCCCTAAGCGGGGAAATAAGCTATACTGGCATAAGGCACCTCATTACCATAACTGTATTCGAACTAGGGGTGTTGTACTGCTATAACTATTTCAGTTAAAAAAAAAAAAAATCATACACCTGATCAGGATAGTTATACCAGGACAAAAATTGCAAGTAGTCCTGGCCTTAGGGTGCAGGTCGTTGGAACCTGAATTCAGGTAGGCTTCCTTTTGTTTGGCAAAATGGCCAAGGCTATGGGTGAGTGGCAATTTTGAATGATGTCTGCTCAAAGGCCTTATCTATGTTCAGAGTTGCACTGGTTTAACTTTAAATCTGTTTAAACAAAGATTTTGTTAAACCAGTGCAGAGCCCTGTGTGGATGCTCTTAATGTGTTCACAGAAGATTTTGCACTGGGTTTAAATAAAGGTATGATTTTTCTTTTAAATCTAGTGCATCTTTGAATAGATACAGGGCCAGAGATAACTGGAAGGGTTTAGTGGGTCATGAGTGCGATAACTAGAGCTAGACAATAGTTGAGGAAAGGCAGACATAGTCAGCCTGGCTGGGATTTTGAATACAGTTGTGAAAGTGATGCTGCATCTGAGTTATAAGCTGCACTCTGCCCTGCATATGTCAGTTTAATTGGACTAGTAATACACTATTGTGCTAAGTCATTTTGCTTCCAGTGAGAAAACAACCAATTCCTGAAGTTCAGTCTTTCTTGACTGCTAGGAAGCTGTTACATGATCTTAATTTCCAAAAGCTGTTTAGTAACACCAAACCCATTAAGATTTCATTAGTTTTCCTCACTTTTGCTGGGTGGGGATCTTAGGCATCATGGCTGAATTACTTATATCAAATTTTGTCAACAGATTTTTCTATAAAAATTAGTTATAAAAATCAGTAAAGGAAATTGAGTGTCCTTTTCCTTAAAAGGAAGCAGCTACATCATATTTGTTTCTGCCTTATACAGGTCACCAGAAAGGCCCACTGGGGATCTTCGGGAGAGAATGAAGAACAAGCGTCAGGACGTGGAGGCTGAGCCACAGAAACGAAATACAGAGGAATCGTCCTCTCCAGTTAGGGTAAGAATGGAGTGCATGGAATATCCAGCCTCCCTCAGTAGCAGTAGGTTAGTGTGTCCTAGAAATATGGTCATTGTGAATTGTTTAATATTAAATAACGTGTTATAAAATATTTAATTTCATATTTAGTTGCCTTACAGTATTTAATATTATCTTGCATCTGTATAGTACTTTTTGTCTTGAAAGTTACCTGAATTCTTTACAAAATCCACACGCTGAAATGCGTATTATAAAATTTTGACATTCGGCTACCTCTGGAGTGAAACTGGCAGCTCTTTAACAATATAGCAGAACCTTCTGACACTGTCAATAAAATGTACCAGCCCCGGCAAACACCTACTAGCTCATTTTTACTTTAAACACTGACATGTATAAAGCACCTACCCTTATTGGCATTATAACACATCATTTACTTGTTACTCACCCCCAACTCCATCTTGCTTATCAGAAAACACCCCTTTCATAAGCCCATGTAATCACTACTCCATGTATTCATTCCCCTCCATTCTCCTATCATTCACCCTAGTTCATCAGTTTTTATCTCTGCAACAAATTCACCAATTCTTGTTCTCTGCCATCCCACCCCCTCCAATCAATTTTTTTTCTCAGCAAAGTCTATTTCACCTTCTCCACTGACATGGCTAATGAAGAGAGACAAAGTTGGTAGAGCTCCTCTGCAATTGGACAACAGCTGCAACATTGATTTACTCTTTTAAGTATTTACAATTTTTTCACAACCGTAAGGGCTAAAACCTTTTTGCTTTTAAAGGAATGTTTTTAATTCTGCGAGCATTATTGGCATTGTTTCTCTTCTGGGTCTGTTCCAACTTGCTGCATGTAAGTGGAAATTTAAAAGACTGCTATATAAAGGAATCAGCAGGAACTGCTGTCACTAAAGTTACATAATGGTTTCCATTCTAACCTCGTTTTCAGCTGCTGATAACTTGCTGAAATTTTCAGTGCTGTCAATTCTCTACACTAAGGTGATTTTATTTAAGTTTGAGAAAAAATGGTTCAGTTCTTGAGTACAAGGAGAGTGGGAAAAGTGTATTTTTCCCATGAATAAAAAAGGTATTATGACTTAGTTGCTGTGTGCAACCTTAACGTGCACATTTTTTTAGCACTTAACTAGGCAACCATAATGTTCTATTCCTGTAGTGACCAAAGAGAGAGAGACAAAAAACCCAAGCTAATCTTTTAAGTATATCAAAAGCAGGAATCTTGCAAGAGAAGTTGTGGGTCTGCTGAACTACCAGTGAGTAAAGGGAGCAATTAAGGAAGATAAAGACTTTGCAGAGAAGCAGAACTATTCCTTTGCATCAGTCTTCGCCACAGGCGATGTTGGGGAGATAGCTGCTCCCGACGTACTTTCTTCAGGTATTAAAGATGAGGCAAAGTCACAGAATGAGTTGTCAAGAGGTGGTCCTGGAACAAATTGTTAAATGTCAATGGGTCACCAAGACCAGTCAGTAAACAACCAAGAGTTCTCAAAGAAGAATGAAGTGACTTGAGTTGTTAACGAAAATATAGTCTTCTTATAATAGCTACTATTCCAAAGGACTGGATGGTCACACAATTGGATCTTTTTTTTTTTTTTTTGCTTCCCCCTAAAGCTCTAGAGGTGAAGGTGAGAATCAAAAACAAGTAAACTTTATTTTGAAATAATTAGTTACGAAACACTTTTTGGACATGATATGATAGGGAAAATGAGCACAGCTCTTGTAAATTAAAATTGTGCTTCTTTATTCTACTAGAATTGAAATTTGTCCACAAAATAGCGGCTAAAGGAGAACTGATTGACATAAATTGGACTTGAGTAGTCTCTCTTGAAACAAAAGTTTTCTGAAAGAACTAAACAGTCAAGGTGTGATTAGAAACTGGCCAAGAGACCGAAAGAAAGAAATGGTCAGTTTTCCACAATGGGGTGCTCCAAAGAGATTCTGGAGAAAGGGTTGAACAGTAAGAAGACAATTTGCAGAAGATAATAAAATATATTTACGTTAGTCAAAACTAGGGACAATTATGAGGAATTTCACAGGGACCTAAAAAGGAAGCAGTTTTAGGTCAGTACAATGGCAGATGTAATTCAGTGTTAACAAATGCAAGGTAATGCACATTTAAAGGGAGTAACTTAAAGCACTCATTCACATTACTGGGTTTTAAAGTAATTGCAACCACTCAGGAAAAAGACCTGGGATTATTGTGGATAGCTCAATGAAAACATCGGTTCAATGTGCAGTAGCAGTCAAAACAGCAAACAAATGTTAAGGTGTATAAGTAATGGAATAGAAAATAATTCTTAAAATATGCCATGATGTAAGTTAATAGTCCACCCTCATTTGAAACACTGTTTTATTCTGGTCACCCCATCTGAAAGAAGATATAATAGAAGATGATGATGTCTGGAAGATGAACAATGAGGTGAGAATGGCACTGTTCGGAGAGGAGCCAAATAAGCGGGGACGTGATAGAGGTATATGATAATAAACGGTAAATAGAACATAAATTAGGCACTCCTGTTTACACTTTCTCATACTAGAAGAACATGGAGTATTCCAATGAAACTAAAAGACAACAAATGTAAAAATAAGGAAATTTCTTACAGTGCACGTAACTAACCTGGGGAACTCATGGCCATAAGGCACAGTCCAAGAATTTAGTATGTTTCATAAAAGGACTAGACAGTTGCATTATACAGGAAAAAAAACTTTTTTTTTTAGAAGGGATATAAATCCTCATGCTTCAGCTAGCCAATAACTGCCTGAAATTAGAAAGAAACTTCTCATATGGACTGGATATTCCATAATTGTCCATTCTGGGGATTCTTGCATCTTCCTTGGACATATCTATTTCCTGGCCACTTTCAGAGAGAGTATACTGGACTATGAGGACAACTGCTCTTATCTAATATGGCTATCCTATGTTCCTAGATATTTGTATGGAATTATTTTGTATGCAAGTGTAAGTAAGTGTATGCAAAATGTTTTACGAATAATGGGACAAGATCCCTGTGCTTACAATCTGATTTAGACAGGTATAATACTTAGAGCAGCTCAAATGTGACTGAGCAGAAACATTCCAATTGGGGGCTTGATACTGGGAAATTTCACAAAATAACTTATTGAGTGTGTGGATGGTTTGGTTGCACATACAGTAACTCCTCACTTAAAGTCGTCCCGGTTAACAATTAGAGAACATGCTCGTTTAAAGTTGTGCAATGCTCCGTTTGGCAGCCGTCTGCTTTGTCCACTGCTTTCAGGAAGAGCAGTCAGTTGCAACTAGCTGGTGGGGGCTTGGAACCAGGGTGGACTGGCAGCCCCCCTATCAGCTCCCCGCTCTCCTAAGTTCCCTGTGCAGCAGCTGCCCAGCAGGCTAGCAATTGCAGCTGTCCCTCCCCTCACTGCCATGTGCTGCTCCTGCCCTCTGCCTTGGAGCTGCTCCCTGAGACTCCTGCTTGCTGTGTGGGGAGGAGGGGAGGAAGAGGAGGGCTAATGTCAGGGTGTCCCCCTCTCCCCTGCTCCTGCACCCCGCTTACCCCATCTTCCATAGAGCCGGGGGGGGGGGGACACATGACAGGGCTCAGGATGGAGGGAGCTTGCTGGCAGCAGCTGGGTCTCAGCAAGCTGATCTAATTAACAAGGCAGTGTACTTAACGGGGAAATGTGCATCTCACTCACACACACACACACGCGGTGTGTGTCTCTGTCTCTGTCTCTCTGCGATGCTGTTTCCCCTCCCTCCATTCCTTCTGCCTTGTAGAGTATGAGAGTTAATCCTTGAGGGCTCAGCTAATTGCTAGTTCATCATTTAGCAGTAAGGCATTTCCTGGGAAATATCCCACCCTCTGACTCCTCCACCTCAACCAAGCTTCACAATCATCATCACTGTGTACCAGTATTAAATTGTTTGTTTAAAACTTATACTGTGTGTGTGTGTATATATGTGTGTGTGTATGTGTATGTGTATGTGTATATGTATATGTGTGTGTGTGTGTATGTGTATAGTCTTTTGTCTGGTGAAAAAAAATTCCCTGGAACCTAACCCCCTCATTTACATTAATTCTTATGGGGAAATTGGATTTGCTTAACATCATTTTGCTTAAAGTTGCATTTTTCAGGAACATAACTACAACGTTAAGTGAGGAGTTACTGTAGTGGGAGGCAGTTCCAAGAGTAGAGGCAGGATGAAGGTGAGAGGGAGAGAAGGTCTTAAAGCATGCAGTTAGGCAAGATTATTGGGAGGAAAGTAAGGCGTATGTATGTTTAATCCATGTGCTTATACTCTGTCTATCACTGTGGTATCTGAATGTTTGACATGAGAACAGATACCAGCATGCAGTAACACATTTGTGACTGGAATGGAATTACTGACCATGTGAATGAGAGAGAACATTGGAGTCTAATAATGCAGCAAACAAGGGCCTCAGAACAAAAACACCTGAGTTCTAATCCCAGTTTTACCACTGATTTGCTGACCTAGGGAAAGTCATTAACTTTGTCTTCCATTATTTTCTCTAAAGTGGAGTCAGTACCTTTCTACCTCACTGGGGAGCTTTGGAGATTAATCAGTGTTTGTTCAGTGCTTTGAAGTGTAACATATGTTATGAAAGCTAAATAGTATGGTGCTTGCCCAAAAGATTCTAGCTACAGTCAGTAGAAGCTTAATTGTACTAAACTCCAAACCTTCTGTGGTTTAGAATCTGTGTACATGTTGCAGTTTATACTACTGTTGCATGCACATGTACTGATAGGTTATTACTACACCAGGTAAGCATAAGATGTTTTGTATAAATGAATTGCGGGATACAGGAGAACCATGAACTTTGTCTCAATTAACATTAGTAAGGTGATGAAACTTCTTGGCTTGACGTCTGTTTTGCTGGTTTATGGCTGTGTCCTCTAGTCCAGTGGTTTTCAAACTTTTTTTCTGGCGACCCAGTTGAAGAAAATTGTTGATGCCCATGACCCAATGGAGCTGGGGATGAGGGGCTTGGGGCGTAGGAGGAGTTCAAGGTTGGGGAAGAAGGTTGGGGTGCGGGGTGGGGCCAGGAATGAGGGGTTCAGGATGTGGGAGGGGGCTCTGGGCTGGAGTAGGGGGTTGGGGTGCGGGAGGGGGTCAGGGCTCTGGGCTGGGGGTGCAGGCTCTGGGCTGGGGCCAGGGATGAGGGCTTTGGGGTGCAGGAGAGGGTTCTGGGTTGGGGGGGCTGAGGGCTGGGGTAGGGGATTGGGGCACAGGGGATTGGGGCACAGGCTTACCTGTGGCGGCTCCTGGTCAGTGGCACAGTGGGGGTGCTAAGGCAGACTTCCTGCTTGTCCTGGCACCGCAGGCCATGCTGCGTTCTGGAAGCGGTCAGCAGCAGGTTTGGCTCCTAGGCGGAGGCGTGCAAGCAGCTCCTCACAGCTCTCACCTGCAGGCACTGCGGCCCCCACCCACCCCCAGCTCCCATTGGCTGGGAACCAGTGGAGTCAGTGCTCAGAGTGGGGGCAGTGTGTGGAGCCCCGTAGTCCCCCTCCCCCTCCTGCCTAGGATCTGGACCTGCTGCTGGCCGCTTCTAGGGTGCAGCGCGGTGTCAGAACAGGTAGGGACTAGCCTGCCTTAGCCGGGCAGCACCTCCGATGGGACTTTTAACAGCCCGGTTGGTGGTGCTGACCAGAGCCACCGCGACCCAGTGCCTTACATTCTGTGACCCTGTAGTGGGTCGCGACCCGCAGTTTGAAAACCACTGCTCTAGTCCTTACCCAGGCAAACTTCATTGACTTTAATAGGAAATTGCCCTAGGTATGGATCAGGCCAGAAGAGTCCAATTTTGAGGTGCTGCACACCTTTTTTGAGGGGCAGAGCTCCTACAACTCTGATTTAACTAGGAGCTAAGTGTACTCTGCACCTCACAGAATTGGTCCCTTAAGATCTGGTATTATTCTACGTACCAGATCCCTTTAATTTCAGCATTAGGCCCTTCATTTGTAAACATACTCCTACGGAACAGATTTTTTTTCAATAGCTACATTTTATAATGAATGATCCCATTGTGCCTCTGAAGCCAAATAGAGAGGGGGCTACTAAATTATTGTCTATGCTTATACCACGGTTCCATTAATAAAGTTGTTATAGAAGATAAATATTTTAAAGTACTGTGAAAGACACTATTCTTAATCTGCAGAAAGGCTTGACTATTTTACAGTGCACCCAAAAGTGTATTAAATCCTTCCAAATACAGGTAAGGCATAATTTTTGCCCAGAGGTGTTTACCAAATAATGAGGAGTGTACGATCCCTTTAGGGAAGGTTGAAGAAAGGAGGATAAGGACAACAGTAGTAAGGTTACGGGGTTTCTCAGCAAGACTGGTGCATACTTCGATGGAACAAAAACCATGTTTTTTTGAGTTCAATAAAAAACTAAAATGAGTAAGTACAAGACTTACCACTGAATTTGTTTTAAGTCTCATGGAAGTAGTAGGTATCCAGGACATATTAGGGAATTAATAACTTAGATTTTTTAATTCTATCCTCTAGAAAAATACATATATTCAACAATGGGAATGTATAAATTGATTGAAAAGAACAGGAGTACTTGTGGCACCTTAGAGACTAACACATTTATTTGAGCATAAGCTTTTGTGGAATACAGCCCACTTCATCGGGCTGTGCTTACTAAGCTCTGATGACTTTTTGGCAACTGAAAGGATGAAGTTGTTTAGCATAACTACAGGTGTATTGTATGTTTCTTAAACTAGAATAATAATAAATTAGCTTACGTAACTGATTGTCTAGCTGTTTTCACTGTATTTATTAGTAATTAAAGGAGGAACTGCTTTCACAAATGTTCTTGTTCCCCATTGTATTATAGAAGGCAGATTTTACCATCACAACTACCATTCTGTATTTTGTTATTTAGAGGAAAGACTACAAGCAAGCTGTTTTTGAGGCTTAGACTTGGTTGTAAATTTGCAATAATAGTAACAATGCAATTTGGGCTCCAGCAATACATGAATTAGAGATTTAGGCAAGGTATATCGCATATAGTTTTTAATTTTTGGAGGATAAAACATTCTGTCGTATTAACAAGTTGTGTTGGTCTTCAGGCCTTCTAGCTCATAGAAGTGCACCTGCTATGTTGACAAGTTACTTTGTATATAGGCTTTGAGTAGGTAGGGGTGTATTGGAGTCAATGTGTGGAGGATCTGCCAGTATATGTGCAAACTTCAAATTTCTAGTTACATCCACTATCAGATTTTTACTGAAGCATCAATGTCACATTCCATTAATGTTGTTGCTTAATTAAATAGCAAGTAATTAATGGTGAATATAAGCGGCCAACATTGTGAAAGAGGGTGTTTGCAGACTGGATGGAAAAGAACCTAGGAAAATGAAGAATCTCTAAGGAAAAAAGGCTGCAAATGATGTTCGTTCATAGAATTGCACAGCTAAGAGATTTCTGTAATAGGGCTCTGTCTTTTTCAGAAATGTGTATTTTGGCTGAAATGTTCCACACTTGGCCTTAGACCAGGTGCAATTTTCCTTTGAAAGCTTGATAAGTTATTGTCAGATGCTCAGCAGGTGTGAACGTGGTGTAGCACCACTTATGTCTATGAAGGTATTGTGATTTGCACCAGCTGAGGATGTGGCCCAGCATTTTTGAGATATCCAACCATGAATAAGCAAACCAAAACCAAGCCCTTCATACAACGCATGCTGCTTTTAATTACATTTGACCTGAGTTCTTAAATGATAATTGCCTTTGACATGTTTGAAACAATGTATCTGAGAAATAATGTGTATAGCATTTGAGAAAGCATTTCACTTAACTTTTGAACAGGGCATCAAAGAGAGAAACTTCAGATAGCTATGCATTGAAATAAACATATTTACATATTTATTTCAGAAATCACAAAGCCAAATAAATTCACAGTATTTTCACGTGGTAGTGCCTTTTGTAAAAGAAAAGACATTTTTCTAGAAGATAAACTCTAGGAATTATTTTGGGGAAGTTCTATGGCCTGTGTTATACAGGAGGTCCCGCTAGATGATCATAATGGTCCCTTCTGGCCTTGGAAGCTACAAAAATCTTAACTGAGACAACATTTAAAACTATTAATGCAAAAACCAGGAAATAGAATTTTGTGCAGTTGGGAGTGATTATGTGATCTTATTTCCTTACTGTAATTCTAAGATGATTGAGGTCTGAAATCAAACCCAGTTCAAGCTGCCAATAGAGAGAAATTAAGTGTCCTAGTTGGTTTCTGGGTAACTTTTTTCTTGTGACTGGACAAGAGCTCTATAAGTCTGCAAGAAGGCCCATAAAAAGAGGCAGAATAGGCACCACATTTGCAGGAGGTGGAGGCAGAGGGAAAGTGATGGATCTGCAGTATACTTCTCCTCCCCCCGCCTCCCCAAAAAAGTCCTTTGGGAAGGGTGCATAGAGAAAGTCCAGCTCAGGAGCAGCTGTCATTGGCTACTGGGATTGGGTGAGCGGAGAGGAGCAGCATAAGGCCAGCTGTCTTTTTGGTGACCTTAGAATTTCTGTAAGATTGACTCTGTTTTCCTTGTGGATCCATAGGGTTCTGTGTCCTTACAGTAGGTAAAAAGACTTTAGTTTGTTTAGGCCAGTAAAATACGTAGTTCAGATGTAAAGCTGTCAGGAAAACTTTAGCCTATTATATGTTTTTAATTCCCCACCCCACCTCCATACAGGACTTTTTGGTACTTTCCACAGTCTTTAGCCTCGAAGGCACTGTTCCCCAACCTTTTTCGTCTGGTGGGCACCGGACGACGAGCCACAGTGGTCCTCGGACAAGCATCCGCCAAAATGCCGCCAAGAAGGAGCGTCATCAAGAAGCGTCGCCACCGAAATGCCGCCGAAAATCAGCGGCATTTCAGCGGCAACGCCTCGGCGGCATTTCGGCAGATGCTCGTCCGCTGGCCAGTACATGGGTGCACATAGATGCCCCGGCGGGCACCATGGCAGGGACCACTGCTCTAAGGAAATAGGCAGTTAGTTATCAATTGTCAGTTCAGTCCTCAGGAGCTAAATTGTAAAATGCACATAACCATTCTCATTTAAAATTGTATTACTCTTTTTCCAGCTGTTCTAATAATATTTTTTAATGTTCACTAAATTTCTCATATAAAAATTTCTGGTCTCTAAAACCGATCTGCTCTTTTTTCAGTCTCCATTGTAAACATCACTTTCTTAGCCTACCTTTAAGTCTTTGTTGACTTCACATGTATGAATGTTTTTCCTCCCGATCCACTGATTATATGAAATTACATTAGAATATTTTCCCAGTGTAATTGCTTCTTAGCTAAGACGACTAATCAGACTAAAGAAAACAATTAGTTTAATTCTTTCAATAAAGCACAAACTACTGTGCAAAATGTATCTACTTCTGCAGGCTTCTGTTTTAAAAAATTGTTACTCTAATTCAGCATTTTTTCCCTGTAGAAAGAGTCTTCAAGAGGAAGGCATAGAGAGAAGGAAGACATCAAAATTACAAAGGAGAGGACTCCAGAAAGTGAAGAGGAAAATGGAGACTGGGAAACCAATAGAGAAGGTAAATTGAATTCAAGTAAGGCTCTCCATTTAATCTATTACAATATTCTAAATACTACAGATTATCAGTTTGTAGGAAGTTTTGTCCATAGCAATGGACTGATATGTTGACTATTCATGAATTACTGATGAATAAGGATTGTTTCAATTTATCTGTGGACAAGGAATAAATTTAGTGGTTGGGTTGGACCAAGTAATATAATTAAGCTTGGCAGCATTTGATTTTTTTTCCCTATACTTTCAATAGATATCGGTTTATTTTTAAGCATTTTTTTAAGATTTGTAGCTATTTAAATTTAACGGCAGTAGACATAAATATTAAAAAAATTAAAGCTTTATAACCATTAAAATCATAAATTATCACAATAACATGTCAAAATATATAAAGTAAATATCCTTAAACCAAACTCTTTGTAAGTTCTCAAGGAGCATTTTTCTTTCTTTGCCTATCTATAAATTTTGATTATCAATAGAAATATATTTGTTGGTTTGTGAAATCAATATTTACTCACATCTACCATTAAAAATCTAATCCTTCCAAGTTAAATATGATGCAAAACAAGAGGTTGTTACTGTCTGCCCTCTCTCTCAATCTGTTTTGAAACTTGATGAACAAGACATCGGTCATAGAATTGTTTGATCAGTATATAAGCAAAAAGAAATTGGCCCTCAGCCACTGACTGGCTGTCAGGGCCTTTCACATCTAGGTCACTGGTTCAAATCCAGCCTACATCAGTTGTGGCTGATTAACAGCTGATCAGTGAAATAAGGTGTGTTTACTCATTTAAAATAAAAAAGGACTCAATTTTACAACAATTTTTACATTTGCCTGTCTCATTGAGCACAAAAACTAAGTTATCTTTGCACATAGCCCATATAGGTCATTGTTGAAGCCCATTGTCAGGGTGACAAAAGAAAGCTTGCTACTTGCTACTGCTCCTTGTTCTGTGGTCAAAAAGAGGATTTTGGTATCCAGGATGTCAGTCACAAACAATCATTTTTTAGCTTTCATTGAACTAAAAAACTGTACCAACTGTTTTTTTTGGATTGAGACAGAACAATTCTGGGGGAAGATCACCACTTCTATTTCCCTTTGTTGGGGGAGACAGTTGACTTGTTCTGACTGACTATGAAGTTATCCTGGTTTCCAGTGAAGCTAAGTGATATCTACATGGCTATGAAATACTTCATGCTATTTTGAGTAGTTGAATACTATGATGTGTATTTGCTTAGGAGCCCTAGTTATGGCCCAGGACCCTGTTTTGCTAGGTTCTGTACAAACATAGGACAAAAAGACATTGCCTGTCCCAAAGTGCTTATAATCTAAGTATAAGGCCTGGTCTACATTAGAAAATTAGGTCTGCATAAATAAGTCACTCAGGGGTGTGATTTTTTTTGAGAAGTATGACTATTTAAGACCACTTATTTTATATATTGCCTGTCATCTTTTTTTAAATAAAGACTCTGATAATGGAGAAGTTAATTATGATTATGACCATGAGCTGTCTTTGGAAATGAAACGTCAAAAGATTCAGAGAGAACTCATGAAGCTGGAACAGGAAAACATGGAGAAGCGAGAGGAAATAGTCATTAAAAAGGAGGTTTGTATCTTGAAAATAGGCACGTGTTCTTATAACTAATCAACTGCCATTTTATGTCCTTAGAGTCCTAATTGTTTTCTGCATGACGGGAGCCGCTATGTGCTACCATGGGGCAAATGATAAATGACTGTTGGGCATAACTTTACAAACATAGGGCTGTATTCTGGCTAGCCTTTCTGTGTAGGCAGGGAAGGAGGCAGATAGGAGAGGAACTTTGTGGCACAAATCGTTGGGACACTCAAACTGGCTGTCCCAAAACCTGTGAAGTACATGTGAGAGAGGTCTTCCCCATGTCTGCCCACATTGGGGTTTAGGAGCTGTGAATTTATTTCATATGCTTCAGTCTGGACCATTTTATCTATGCCAGTCCACCACCTGCCCTCACTATTCATATTACACTGGCTTTTATTAGGCATGATCTTAGTGGGTGGTTCATAACTGGAAAGAATATGCCTATTTGGGGTGTGGGACGTTAAGACCAGAATTTTTGGGCTGTAGGTAAATCTTACTGGAGTGCAATTTTTCAGGCTAACTTTAGAGTGTTAATTAGAACCATTTTATGGATATGAATGTAATGATCTGTTAGGTGTCATTTAATTATATCGTAGGTCATTTGTGCAGCATTTTCTTTAAGATCAGCTTTATTTTAAGATATTTTAATACTAATGTAATTAACTACTTCTGCAAAAAATGTGCTTAGTATGTCTGAGGCAGATGGTGTGTCAGTGGTTATTACTATCTAAAGTTCTAATTATATTAGGATCCTTATTCAGGATACACATACAGCACATGAGTTTTTGGTTGTAGTTTAAACTTTTTCTTTATCCAAGATTTCTCCAGAGGTGGTTAGATCTAAATTATCACCGTCTCCTTCACCAAGAAAGTCTAAATCTCCAAAACGAAGGTCAAGTCCCAAATCTTCATCTTCAGTTAGTAAGAAAGAGAAGAAGACTTCTACAGTGTCTTCACCGCTCTTGGACCAGCAGAGGTCAGTAGGTAGACATACATTATGGTTGGGGAACAGGATGGTATGTTCATACATTATGAAATGTTTCGTGCTAATCAGTGGATATAGATACTCATTTTCATTGCCCCTTAAGGTGTGAATTCAGTGTACCAGTTTTGAAACTGTCGATTTTTTGCAGAGTTCACAAAAATCCCTGGGACAAGGCAGCGTATAGATTCATAGATTCATAGATTCATAGATTCTAGGACTGGAAGGGACCTCGAGAGGTCATCGAGTCCAGTCCCCTGCCCGCATGGCAGGACCAAATACTGTCTAGACCATCCCTGATAGACATTTATCTAACCTATTCTTAAATATCTCCAGAGATGGAGATTCCACAACCTCCCTAGGCAATTTATTCCAGTGTTTAACCACCCTGACAGTTAGGAACTTTTTCCTAATGTCCAACCTAGACCTCCCTTGCTGCAGTTTAAGCCCATTGCTTCTTGTTCTATCCTCAGAGGCTAAGGTGAACAAGTTTTCTCCCTCCTCCTTATGACACCCTTTTAGATACCTGAAAACTGCTATCATGTCCCCTCTCAGTCTTCTCTTTTCCAAACTAAACAAACCCAATTCTTTCAGCCTTGCTTCATAGGTCATGTTCTCAAGACCTTTAATCATTCTTGTTGCTCTTCTCTGGACCCTTTCCAATTTCTCCACATCTTTCTGGAAATGCGGTGCCCAGAACTGGACACAATACTCCAGCTGAGGCCTAACCAGAGCAGAGTAGAGCGGCAGAATGACTTCTCGTGTCTTGCTCACAACACACCTGTTAATACATCCCAGAATCACGTTTGCTTTTTTTGCAACAGCATCACACTGTTGACTCATATTTAGTTTGTGGTCCACTATAACCCCTAGATCCCTTTCTGCCGTACTCCTTCCTAGACAGTCTCTTCCCATTCTGTATGTGTGAAACTGATTTTTTCTTCCTAAGTGGAGCACTTTGCATTTGTCTTTGTTAAACTTCATCCTGTTTAACTCAGACCATTTCTCCAATTTGTCCAGATCATTTTGAATTATGACCCTGTCCTCCAAAGCAGTTGCAATCCCTCCCAGTTTGGTATCATCCGCAAACTTAATAATCGTACTTTCTATACCAATATCTAAGTCGTTAATGAAGATATTGAACAGAGCCGGTCCCAAAACAGACCCCTGCGGAACCCCACTCGTTATGCCTTTCCAGCAGGATTGGGAACCATTAATAACAACTCTCTGAGTACGGTTATCCAGCCAGTTATGCACCCACCTTATAGTAGCCCCATCTAAATTGTATTTGCCTAGTTTGTCGATAAGAATATCATGCGAGACCGTATCAAATGCCTTACTAAAGTCTAGGTATACCACATCCACAGCTTCTCCCTTATCCACAAGACTCGTTATCCTATCGAAGAAAGCTATCAGATTGGTTTGACATGATTTGTTCTTTACAAATCCATGCTGGCTGTTCCCTATCACCTTACCACCTTCCAAGTGTTTGCAGATGATTTCCTTAATTACTTGCTCCATTATCTTCCCTGGCACAGAAGTTAAACTAACTGGTCTGTAGTTTCCTGGGTTGTTTTTATTTCCCTTTTTATAGATGGGCACTATATTTGCCCTTTTCCAGTCTTCTGGAATCTCTCCCGTCTCCCATGATTTTCCAAAGATAATAGCTAGAGGCTCAGATACCTCCTCTATTAGCTCCTTGAGTATTCTAGGATGCATTTCATCAGGCCCTGGTGACTTGCAGGCATCTAACTTTTCTAAGTGATTTTTAACTTGTTCTTTTTTTATTTTATCTGCTAAACCTACCCCCTTCCCATTAGCATTCACTAGGATAGGCATTCCTTCAGACTTCTCGGTGAAGACCGAAACAAAGAAGTCATTAAGCATCTCTGCCATTTCCAAGTTTCCTGTTTCTGTTTCTCCCTCTTCACTAAGCAGTGGGCCTACCCTGTCTTTGGTCTTCCTCTTGCTTCTAATGTATTGATAAAAAGTCTTCTTGTTCCCCTTTATTCCCTTAGCTAGTTTGAGCTCATTTTGTGCCTTTGCCTTTCTAATCTTGCCCCTGCATTCCTGTGCTGTTTGCCTATATTCATCCTTTGTAATCTGTCCTAGTTTCCATTTTTTATATGACTCCTTTTTATTTTTTAGATCATGCAAGATCTCGTGGTTAAGCCAAGGTGGTCTTTTGCCACATTTTCTATCTTTCCTAACCAGCGGAATAGCTTGCTTTTGGGCCCTTAATAGTGTCCCTTTGAAAAACTGCCAGCTCTCCTCAGTTGTTTTTCCCCTCAGTCTTGATTCCCATGGGACCTTACCTATCAGCTCTCTGAGCTTACCAAAATCCGCTTTCCTGAAATCCATTGTCTCTATTTTGCTGTTCTCCCTTCTACCCTTCCTTAGAATTGCAAAGATGTCTTCATTGATTTTAATAACTTGTAGATTTTGCATTGAACATTGTTTCTTTAAATGACGTGACCTGCCTAGAGCCTGTGAGATGCACTGGAGAAATCTAAATAGAAATAAAATTACATTTGTTCAATGGTGTGGGGTGTTGGTGGTGGTTAAACGCAAGTTAATTTAGGCTAGAATTGAAATTTTGCAGTTTGGGGAGTCAGGTGTTCTGTTGGCACTACATATTGCTATACAAGAGATACTACTTGGCCTTCTAGTTTAAGGAGTGACCTGGAAAGTTATAGCACTGGGAAAGGGAGACAAGAGAGGGGATGAAGTAGGAAAATCACAGGCTGTTACAACTGGGCTTCTTGTCACAAAAAAAATCAATCAACTAAAAAAGACCTTGCTGACTCTAGAACCTGGGAATCCATGTTTAGCTCCATTAGCTGTGAGGAAAAATTACAACCCTAATACAAGTACAGGCACCTATATTTGCCAAGCAACTTGCCGTTGAAGCAAGTTATGCTTAAATAGGGGCACAATACTCGTAAATGTTGGTTTTGCTGTAAAAGACTAGTATAAGGGATTGCTTGCTACAGTGCTTTAAGATGCAGTGACATCTAGGTACTAATATGTTTGTATCTGTTTGTGACTCACTTATGAAAAATACATATGGGTATAAAGAAATATCTTTACATTTCCTTGTAATTCATGGTGGAAACAAAATGTTCAATATTTATTCATAAAGCTCCTGAAAATATGGTAGGATGCTTTACATACAAGGAATGAGTGATCCCTACCCCAAATAGCTTAAAATTTGAGGCACTGACACTGCACTGTATTGTGCACAGATGTATTGTATTCAATTGCAGAATCTGAACAAGATACAAAGGATTTTGGTGTTTTGATGCATGCAGTTTTACAAGGGCATTGTAACTTTGGAAGCTGTAGTTACACATTTGGGAGCAGTTCCAAATTTTGCAAGTCTGTTTCAGAAATAAGGGTTATAAATTCAAATGGCCATGGGAAACTTCAAAGGAGAGCTTGACGTTAATTTTCCTTTGTATTCACCATTCAGTCAAGTACAACTGCAAATGCCACTATCTGCTGATGGAATAGAGAAGTCTGCCCCAAAAGCTGCAAAGCGCTTAACTCTATAAATTGGTGCTGCTACCGGTAGTATCTGAGAGATTAACAAATATTTTATTTAGTCTTTTAAATAGCTTTTTCCGGTATTTTGATACATTTAGGAGTTCCAAAAGCACCCAGAGTAAAAAGAAGGGTCCTCGTACGCCTAGTCCACCTCCTCCAGTACAAGAGGAGACTCTCCTGGGGAAAAAGCATAAAGAAAAACATAAAGCAAAAGAGCGTTTAGAAGAAAAAACTAGAGAGGGGAAAGAGAGAGGACGTGACTTTGAAAGACATAAGGAAAAAAAAGAGAAACAGAGGTGAGTTCTGTTGCATTATTAGATTTTTAGCATTAATGTAACCTTGCTTAGGTTGTCTGCATTTCTGTTAAATCTGTAGTTCATATTGCACTAAATAGAGAGGGTTTTACATTTGACTTGCTGCCAACTTTCTCTGAATTCATTAAATATAATAAATGCATCATATAGTGGACTAATAAACTACAGCTAATAGAGTTGTCACTTTAATAAAAATAACTTGTTGAGATGCCCTTCTGAAATAACTGTCATGTTCTCCATCAGTGAGTCAGACCTTGACTGGTGGTCCAGTCCAGGGTCCTCACGTCTTCATTCTAAAGCCATAATTTTTCCATTATACCTTGAACTTCCCCTTGTAGAGAAACACTACTTCTCTTCTTCAGAATATCAGGTCAGTGGACCCGTGAAGAGAAAACACTATTATTCTGCAAATTGGCCATTAGGAGGCATTCTCCTCTCCTGAAAGCCTCATTTAGTAAATCTAGCATTTTAGTAATGCTGTTTCTTCAAAAATTTGCCTCTTAAAAGTCCCAACCTTTTGGGATGCTTACATCCAAAGGTGGTTCTATGTATTCACACTCATACCTGCCCACCTTATCCATCCCAAAACCTATATGTCCACGTGGGGAAGGTAGGTCATATTCATTCTCATTCTCTCTCTCTCTCTCTCACACACACATGACGTATAGTGGTAAGTTTGCTATTACTTTGTGAAGACTAAGGAGTTTAGGAAAACCTTTACATTCTGTCATGAGCTGATAAAGTAAAAAGACTCAGAAAGGTGGTTGGATCTGAGGCAGTGTTATGCCCCTTTCCATAATTAGTGTCAGAAGGTCACAAGCAGTAGTGGGGAGCACTCAGTGCAGCTGTGATAAAAGCGGGAGTGTATTTGGCAGCCTGTGTGCATGTGGTACCATGATAGCAGTAGGTACTTCCATGGCAATGGCTGCAGCCTGTTATACAAGTGTCAGTGACCTTTGTGTGTGAATTTTTAAGTTACTTAATATTGAAAACAAATACTTGAAATTCTCCTGATCCTTCAGTAAGCCAAATGGCAGTTCAAGATACCAGCAGTCTTTTTCTTCCTTCAGAAGTCATCATTAAGGTCCGAAAACTTGTTTGAACTTTTTTATAGTAAAGTTCTGATTTTACAGAATTCATTAAATTAAAGCAACAAAAAGAACAAATTCCCTATTTTTTTATTGACATCTAGCTGCTTAAAAAATTACAGATAATCTAGAGGGTTCAGGCTTCACACTGTTTGTATTACATTGAAAAATATATTAAATGGGATCTTCTGGAACTAAACAAGTTTGTAAATTGTGTAGATATTAGATTCTTGAGCACTATATGATGAAGATAATTTCATATATGATGAACAAACTATTCTACCAGAAGTAATTCTTGATCCGGTACTACGGGTGTGGTCTTGGAGTTGATTTTAATTGATTGGAGATGTACTGATTCCATATTGTGCATGCTGAACAAGCTGCTACTTGTATGTTTCTTAGAGATCCTTCAGAAGGCTCCCATAGACAGAAGCGTTCTCCTAGTCCTGCTGATCATTCTGGCAGTAATTCCTCTCCTTCCAGAGAATATTCACCTCCTACCTCAAGGAGAAGACAAACCTCCCGAGCTCCAGCCAAGTCAACTACACACAAGCATACTTTCTCACCCTCTCGCAGGTGGGAAGTTAATAACATAGTTCTTATTTTCCTAAACAATTCAAACTTTCCTGCCACCTTATCAAGTCACTTTCTCTTTGGTGAGATCACATGATATCAGTGTTCTTTCCAAAGATGTGAGCATTTTGATACAGAATTATTTACCCTAGTAGCAGTATTAAAGAATAATCTACTTTACTGTTAACATGAGTAGCTGTGAATCCCTAGTCCTGCAAACTCTTTCTCACCTGCATAACTTTAAGCAGATATGTAGTCCTGTTGACTTCAGTGTGGTTATTCAGGTGAGTAAAGTTATGTACATGCATAAGAGTTTGCAGGATTGGGGCCTAAATTGTCTTAGACAAAGAGATATCCTAACAAGAGTTTACAGCTAACAGAAAATTACAAAAACAGAAATTAAGACGCCAGTGTTACTTGCCACAGGGATGCTGTATATAGCTATACTTAGAGTGTGCACCCAAGAAAGAAAATGTATAATTTGTCTGCTGCATGTTACCAGGATTTCTTGAAAGCACCTCATATTTAGTAAAATAGCTATGTTGCTGGGGAAGACTGCATGTTTCATAGCAACAAAGTTCTTGTCATTGTCTAATTGAAGGTGCTTTTTTTTTTTTTTTTTTTTTTTTTTTTTTTTTTTTTTTTTTTTTTTTATTTTTTTTTTTTTTTTTTTTTTTTTTTTTTTTTTTTTTTTTTTTTTTTCTGAAATGTATATTTTTTTTACTGGATGACTTGCTCTTGAATATTAACTAACGATTAAACTAGGAATATAGAGTGGTTATAACAAACTCTTAAAGTATTTTTATTTTTGAGATAACAGTAAATATGCATGGGAGAGAGGAGCGGTTTATATATTTTAGAAATAAGGATTTTATTTTCCAGTTGACGGCTAGAGGGCGGAGACTATAGAAATAATTTTTTTTTTAATGGATTTTTTTATTGAGGTTTTATTATATATTTTATATTATCATAAAAAACTGCATGTTGTGGCTATTTTAATGATGTGTCTTGCAGGTCTACTTCCCCACCAGGGCAGCATCACTCTCCCATATCATCAAGACATCACTCCTCTTCATCACAATCAGGCTCCTCTGTTCAAAGACATTCCCCTTCCCCCCGCCGCAAAAGAACTCCTTCTCCAACCTATCAAAGGACAGCTTCCCCACCTGTGAGGCGTTCCTCCTCTCCCTATCCCCCACGCTCTTCATCCTCTCCTCAGAGGAAGCGAAGTCCTTCAAGACATCAGTCCCCAGGGAGAGAGAAGGGGAGGCATGATCGTGACCGGACTTCACAATCACATGACAGACGCCACGAAAGGAGGGATGGTACGAACAAGAATACGTTTTTCAGAAACATGTTACATTGCCCCCAAACTGTAGTTAGCTGACAATTAAAAAACCTGATTATTTTAATCATTGTCTCATCTAGATGTGCTCCAAGCAGTTAGACAACACATTGGTTAAAATGCCAGCAGACATCTATGCTAGCACTCCTGTTCCCACTGTATCGGGTATAGTGCAAAGAGGAGAGACTTTAACAAGAATGATAGTGTAGGCAAGGTCTCTTTCACTGTACTACGTCTCACCAGTATGATATGTGTTAAAGTCCAGAATGGCCTTCATTTTTTCTCTCTAGTATCTAACCACCCTTTCCTGTATATGGCAGTGGCTGCACCAATCACAGTAGGATAGTGGTCTTCTCTCAAGGTGCCAACTATCTGCCAGTGAACCACATAGCCACATAGCCTATCAAGTCTGTTGGGCAATTTTGGTGAACAAAAATGCCATCACCCCCAAACTTATGAAGAGAACATTTGTCAAGTTTTGTAGACCAACTATAAGTTAATACAATGGAACCCCATTTATCTGACCCGTCATTATCTGTTTCTCCATATTAACCCAACAACCAGTGCGCACAGGTCTAGAAGCAGGCGATCTCTCTGGTGGCCGCTAGATGGTGCTGTAGTCTCACACTTTCCCATTTTCTGGATTAGCTGAACTTTTGATTATCCAATCTGGCCCCGGTTCCAACTAGATCGAATAAATAGGGTTCTGCTGTATTTATAATAGGAACATATTGTGAATAAATAAATATTTTAAAAATCAGGTTTCAGTGGTGAGAGATCTTAACAAAGATGATAGCATAGATGCACTCTGAGCACACTGTCAGGTGCATAAGGAATTGAAAAGGGAAATTACCACAAGAAAAGTACTTGAACTCAGTACTCTATAAAGGAATATGCTCCTGGTCCTAAAATTATTGCAGCAAATCGTCGTCCTAACACATTTTGAAGTTACTGAATCTCTAAACAATGAAATGTGATACTTACTAGATCATAGATTCAAATCCATGGGGGAGATTTTTCTAAAGCAACAAAGGTAGTTAGGCACCCAACTCTAATTTGTGCCTTTGTAAATCTCTCCCCATAGGCTTTTGTGTAAGAAATCTAATTTGGTTGGATCATTTTATATCCTTTCTACTTTGGATTGTTAGAATCTAATATTGAAGACTTTAATCAAGATGAATATTACATATAATTTGTTTTCCAGAAACTAGAGGAAAAAGGGAAAAAGAGAGGGAAACCAGAGAGGAACGAGATTATGACCAAGAGCAGAGTGCCTCCAGGGATCATAGAGATGACCGAGAATCTCGGGATGGAAGAGATCGGAGGGAGACCAGGGATAACAGAGACCGCAGGGAGCCAAGGGAATCCAGAGACACTCGAGAATCCAGGGATACAAGGGATTACAGCAGAGATAATAAAGATAGCCGTGATCAGAGAGACTCACGTTCTATACGAGATACCCATGACTACAGAGACAGAGAGAATCGAGATACCCATAAAAAGGAAGACCAGTATCAGGAGGAGCCACGCAGTTATGGAAGAACCCATGGCAGAGAAGAGAATTCCCGTGCTGACACACGGAATGAATCCAGAAATGAGTCGAGAAATGAAAGTAGAAGTGACCGAACCGGCAGAAGTCGAGGCAGAGGTCCAGAATTATCTGACAAAGGTACTATATGATTTATTTTTTCAATGTCTGTACTACATTATTTGATAATGAATTGCTGCCAAATAAGCGCATGCTGTTAAAGCAATCCTTAAGTGGTATTTTCATTAAAATAGAACTGTTGTCGCTTAAATGCATAGCACTCCTCCGTTTTCCATTGATTAAAACAGTATAGCATTGGCATCCTGCCATAGTACTTAAAAATCCTGCGCCACTCTGTTTAATGTATCTGCAACCTTAGCTGTTCCCAAGGGCCATGAAATACAAATAAGAGCCTGAAGTGTAATGAAAGACTAGCAGAGGCAGATTCTCTAGCCATATTCATTACACAACCCCTCTTCCTTCTCCTCAAATACGCATGTATAGCCAGGTTCAACTTCTCCCATTTTTCTCACGTACGAAATATGTAACATTTTCTATGGCTTTCCAAAACCCGTTCCATTGTAATTTGTATTTGAAGAACTGTTAATTCTTTTATATTATCACCATTTGGTCATCTGTATTCATTGTTTTTTGCTTTGGTTTCTTAGTTTTAATGTAACAGTTTTCTTTTTATTTTCTTTTTTAAAAGCTTCCAATAATTTTAAAGCAACCTCCATCATATCTTGACTGCTTGGTCTGCTCATTTCCTTCTGCACAATGTCTGCAGCCTTATATTCTTCTAAGGAGAAATTTCCGCCACCTCCATGCTACCTTATTACCAGTCAGAAAAACCCATATTGTAACTAGAGGAAGTTGATTTCTCCTGAAAATAGAGTACAGTATTTGGGCATGGTGTATATAATTTTCAGATGCCTAGAACTCAAGTGCAGCATCTTAATTCTGGTTTTGGTAGGTTGTCGTCTCATTATCACAAATATGTGTATCAGATTTGTTAACTATAAACTTTTAAATCATCAGGATGGGGAGTTGAGCATTGAAACAGTTTCCTATGTCAAATAGAGTTTAGAATTTAACTTCTGTTTCAATGGTATAATTAAATCTTATAGTTAATTGTTATAAAATGTCAATGGATTTTCTTACACGTGAACTCTTATGGCGGGTGGAAATGTTTTCAATAGGAAGTCGGGCAACCAGAGGGTCTCAAATTGACAGTCATAGCAGTAGTGGCAATTACCATGACGGCTGGGAATCACGGAGTAGCTACCCTGACCGAGACCGCTATGACAATCGAGAGCAAGCAAGGGATTCATCCTTTGAAAGAAGACATGGAGAAAGGGAAAGACGTGACAACAGAGAGAGAGGTATGCAAATATGCATGCACTAATTCAGAAACGTACAGCTGACCTGATATTGGAGTTTCGCATCAGTCTTGTTCTGAGGTTAACAAAAATTGACATATCTAGTACAAATGCTCATTAGCACAGCTATATAATAGATTCTCCCCCTTACCCCCCTCGACTGGCTTATGGCATTCCCCCACTGCTGTTTTTATTCATTCAGTATGTTTTAAGCAAACAACTTTGGGTGACTTCAATGTAAAATGAATAAATTGAAAAGAACTGAACATTTTTCTGTTTTATTTTCTGGAGGATATTACCTATTTATATACATGAGCATGTGGCTACTGTTGCATTTCAATACAATGTTACTTGTTGATATAGAATCATACAGAATATTTTTTTTTTTGTCTTAGTATTTAAATATACTATTGTGAAGGTTTAGCTAACCTTGACTGGCTACTAAAGTAAGGCACAGTATAATACTGTGATTAATACAGTATGACATTTTATTGACTTGGGAATTTAATATTGATTAATGCTTTGCTGTGGTCAGTGTCAAATGGCTAATAAATCTTGATACAGATGCTGGTGAGGATGGGGAGAGTCCATGTTTTTATAAGGGTCTGCCATTTTGGGCTTAGCATGAGACATTTCATTTTCATAGCAGAGAGAATGCTGAAGTTGTCCCTAGGGAGTTCTGTTCCAACATCCAGTCTGAAGAGTCATCTTAGAGTGAAGGCTTCTGAAAAAGTTGGCTTGCTGACTTCCTCAGTTAGCAGAACAAGAGAGCTTAATTAAGGCAAATTCAGGGTTTAGGGACAGTGAGGAGAATAAATGTAAACGTACAATGAATTTTTGGTCTTCAGGAAGGTTTTAATTATGTTGGATGTGGCCATTGAATCCCCAGATGTTGCCTGTGTTCATTCCTTTAAAAAGGCATGTTAGGCACTACTCTGCCAAGTTTTCTTCTCTCCACAGAACAGCATAATAAGTCATGTCTTCTGTTCCTATGAAAAGCTCTGGAGGTTTTTTTTAACTGCTGCTCTGCTTTAGTTTTTCTTCTACCTTCAAGGAAGGATTTTGTTGAACCTAATCTGCATCTTCCTTCTTGTCATTAGCCTACAGACTGCAGTCTGAATGTGTCCTGAACATTGGCAGTTTCTAATTACTTTTTATCTCTACCTCCTTTGCAGTAACCAGCTGATTAAATTATAGTGCAGTTTGAACTTTCATGTCTTATTGAGTTCTAAGTAAAAATCTTAAAATTAGAAGTAAATATAAATATGCCAGTACAGCAAAGGAAATTTATGGGAGGCAAGCCATTTGTTTTAGAGTGAAATGCACAATAAATGTTTATAAGGAGCTCTAATAGAATTGAGTCAAGCTTAAATATCTTTCCTTAGCTCTTATGGTTTTACTTTGCTCTGTTTCTAAAAAATAATAGTTTTTCTAACATTAAAACCTTCTCAGAGTTAATTTTAAGTACAGATTTACATAATGTTTGAGAAATACTAAGACAGTGCTTTAAAAAGGGAACACGTAAGAGAAAATTTTACTTCTCAATTACATTAGGAGTTGTTTTGAATATGGTTTAAAATATTAAACTACATAATACAAAACTAAAATACAGATTCTCAGGGCTAGGCATCCTGTATTCAGCTAAAACAAAAATACTTTAAAGTTAAATCTGATGTTTCCAAACACAAGTATAATGTTTCAAAGGAGAAAGATGTGAACGTATAGTACAGTAATTATTAATCCATCCATACCCACATATATTTAGCAAATATATACTTCCAGATGTCTGTCGTGTTTCACATTTAAGCATTGTTTGCAGCATCGTGGATTTGATTTAAATCACTAGTCAGGAAGACTCGATTTAATCATGAATTTCTATATAAAAGTGCATTCATATTCTTCACAACTCAGATGTAGGTTTCATTTTTAGAAGGTACACACTGTACATTTTTAAAGTGATTTATTCTGAAAACTTTTCAGATTAGTTTTACAGCTATATCAGAAAATGAATGATTGTTTGGTTATTTCATTTACCAAAGGTAATTGAAGCAGATATTTATGAAGTCATTGGGAGGTGAACTATCTCCAATTCAAGGTTAATCATTAATATTTGGAGGATTTTCTTGCCATGCTGTATTAGGAGGAGAACATCACCAGACAAACATTTAAATTGTTTTATTTAACTAGAACAACATTATGGATTTTTTTTCTTCAACACCAAACACAATATTTTAACAAAACAAGCAAATGAATTTTTGAATTTAGTTAAACATTCAAGTTTTTTAAAATCGGGTTTGTTTTTGTTAAAATTGTTTAACTAAAATAGTTAAATTAAATATTAAAAAAAAAAATTTAAATTGACTGTGTCAGCCAGGTCAACATGAGAAACTTAAAATATTGGCTTCTGCAGCTAACTCAGTCATCTTCACCTTCATTTTCCTGTTTGTTCATAATCTGGAAAAGAAAAACAAGCTTTCCTGCTTTTTCAGGTCCCAAACAATTTCTCAATTTGGAATGAATTAGTCCAAAGGAAGAAATTATTCTTTCTACACCGGCAGAAGAAGCTACTGCTGTTAAAAGTGAGATTATCACTTCAACAGTCTCTGAATCCAAGTGCTTAAGTGACTTCCACCAGTTCATTGGGGTGACTTTCTTTAAAACATCATCAGCAAACATATATTTCTTGAATGGTTCTTATTCCCAAACTGGGTCTCTTTTATGGCCTGCTGCCATTATAGGTTTTCCCTTCTAGTGAGAGATTGGTAGTAGATCTCAAATCAATGACGGCTACACTCAGAAAGACCTCAAGACTTCTGGGTTATGCTGCTCAAACAGTTTCACTTTTGTTTCTACTGCCTGTCCCTCCCGTCTCGCATTTATCTCCAGACTTTTCTCCTTGTCCAGAGCTATTCAGCCCCCAACAATCTTCTATTCATTGAACTTTTTGAAACTTTGCACTTTTTAAAGAGAGGCAAGGGATTGACTCTGTACACAAATTTGCAGAGGGACAATAGGGTTGAGGTCTGTTATTTCTCATCTCTATATATATTAATTTATTTATTTAACAACATTTTTGCTGTTAACATGCTTGTAACAGCAAAAATGTTGTTAACAGCAAAAATGTTATCTCTGGAGAGACAAATCTGCAGTCTGAGAACTGCAAAACTAAGCATCTCTGATGATATCTTCTAGACTGAGCACTAAGTCCCATTGGGTAGATAGAAAGATTAACCTAAATAATCTATACAGAAGCCCCTGGAACCCCATAAGATTGGGTCCCTAATAAATGAACTATTGAAACTCATTTACAAAACTTTTCTTAAACATTACATGAATATATTGTCTCATACTATAGAATTAGAATTTAAAATCCCTATTCCATGATGAGATATCTTTGAGCTATAATGTATCTTAATTAAAACTATCTTTAGATAGGTTTTTTCCTCAAAAAGCATTTTATCAAAAAAATCCAATTTTTGTCCACCCTGGTTTGCAGATACTTAGTACCACTCCTCGTGGCAATATAATGTGGAAAAATAATAGTTTAAAAATGAAGAACTTGAATTACAGTGTAGTACTATTGCAATAAGTGGTATTGAAATGATGTGGGCATACCAGCATAAATAATGTGAATCTGTATCTGGACCCGAGTTGCCTGAACTAACGATTCATATCCAAAAAATGATTGTTTCGGCCATAGCAGAAATGTCATTCCTATTTACTTTTAATTTTACCTGGAAGCAAGGGAGCATTAAATCATTATTAATTCACTCGCAGGTGAAAATTGATTAAACTGAACGGGAACGTATGTTTTATTGACTCAGTTCTGTTCAAACTCCACATGCATGCCCCTGAAGGATATTCTCTCAATAATGTATGGAGATGTGCATTATGTCAGCTTTGCAATAGTGGACAAAAAGTCAAATCTGCATTTTCCTTTATTCATACAAGTGTTTCCTTCACCTCTTTATGTAATGTCTTTAACATACACCATGGAGGATTTTTCTATTATTCTTTACTAAAATAGAATTAAGATCACAGTGTAGTTACTGATGCAAATTAGTCGCAATTTATATCCACTTAAGTGAGATTTAGATGTCTGCAACTATGTATATTTTTTGTTGCTAAGGAAAGCTAATATTCAAGTTAAATAGGACTTTCCCTGTGATTCTAGACTAGTTATTTCCTATTTACACATGTATTCTTCCCCATCCCTCACCACCAGTTCCTGTGTACTGTGCCTAGAACAGCTTTGCTTGTGAAGCCGCAAGGAATATTTGTAAGATTTCAGTTCTGATGTTTCCAATATTTCCTCTTTGCCTCCTTCTCTTGATCTGAGTCACCTGAAGGATCAGATGATGAGCCACTGAGCCAGGCCGTTTCATATTTTTCTAAGTATTGAACGTGCTGGCTAGAGGAACTGTGGAACTGAGAATGGATTGAAGAAAAGTAAAATCCTGCATTCTTTAATAGAATGATAAACTTCATTTTAAAATGAGTGTCCATTTTAAGCATCTGTTTAATTGAAATCATATAGAAAATATCTGATCATGCTTTTGGGCAATAGTAGTAATCAAATGGTAAGCAGATAAAGTTTTTGAAATTACTGGGAATAGACTTATACAAAATAAAACCTTTATAGCCATGGTTTGTAGTGACCTTAAGCTTTAAGTAGAAAAGACTTGAAATATTTTTAAAATGAAGAAATTTAAGATAGTGCACTTCCCCTCATGTCATTCAGAACCTTTTCCAGCATTCTGCAAGAAGCTTCTGGTTTATGTTTAATGCAGATATCTAGATTGTATCCTTCTACTTTAATAAGAATACAGAAGCTTCTATTCTAATTTTAAATGATTAGTGTACTGTGAGAAGCGTATCTATCTAATTAGTCACTGGCAATGAAACTTGACTTTCTTTACAGATCAAAGACCAAGCTCACCAGTACGGCACCAAGGAAGGAGCGATGACCTTGAGCGTGATGAAAGGAGAGAAGAACGAAGGGTAGACCGGGTTGATGATAGGAGAGATGAAAGGGCCAGGGAGAGGGAACGAGAGAGGGAAAGGGAACGAGAGAGGGAAAGAGAGAGAGACCGGGAGAGGGAGAGAGAAAAGGAAAGAGAACTAGAACGCGATCGTGCCCGAGAACGGGAGAGAGAAAGAGAGCGGGACAAAGACAGAGAACGCGAACGGGACAGAGACCACCGAGACCATGATAGAGAGAGGGAGAGAGAGAGAGAAAGGGAGAGAGAGAAAGAACGAGAGCGAGAGAGGGAGGAACGGGAAAGGGAGAGAGAAAGAGAGCGAGAACGAGAGCGAGAACGAGAGAGAGAGCGGGGTCGTGACAGGGATAAGGAACGAGAACGTCCGAGAGACTGGGAGGACAAAGAAAAAGGAAGGGATGACCGCAGAGATAAGAGAGAAGATGTCCGAGAAGAAAGGAATACAAGAGATGTCCACGAGGAGAGGAAATCTAAGTAAGTGATTCTGCATGTGACTTATTTTCTCACCAAAAATACAAAATACCATGTGATCCTTTAATGTTTCATGGTGTAACTCTCTCTGTTTTCATTGTTGTAAACCAAGTGTTTGCTACGGCACAAGTAGCACATGTCTGCTAGTAGGAGCTTGTAAAGGGTTATGTGTTGACTCCAGAGCCCCTAGCAAATCTCTGAGAGTTCACTCTGTCTCATTCAGATGTTACTGTAGCAGATCCTTTGTTGAGATTCTTGCTTAAATATGAGATGAAACATCTGCTATGTATGAATAAGATAGCATATCCTCCCTACATTTATGGCATTTACTCTAAAAAAAAAATTCATTCTGTATTTAAAAAAAAAATCTAATTAGTTTAAATAATCAATTAAAAAGTTTAGAAGGATAATATAAATTTTTGCGCTTAACTTTTTTCTAGATCCTTCTAGCAAATACAGTCTTGATTCTCCATTGGAGTGATCTCTGTGTATTTCCATTTGTAGGATGCACTTCCGAGTTTTGGGAACTGTCTTTAAAGCAGTGCTCATTGGGGCCACAAGACTAACCTCAATCCTTTCTTTATGTAGCCAGCTGTGGATATTGTAATCTTTTCACTGCACTCAAAGCAATTCCTTGGGTTTTATTCAAAGCTCCTTTAATTTCTCATATATTGTTGGTTAGCTAGTTTGTAAAGGAAATAGCTTGCACTGTTTCACTTTTAGGACCAGATCCTCAGTTGTCCCAGCAATACTTGAGAGAGTCTTATGCTCTGGATCAAGCTGCAAATCATCTCCATTCCACTGGCACAATGAAATAGTTTAATGAAAGGTTTCAGAGTAGCAGCCGTGTTAGTCTGTATCCGCAAAAAGAACAGGAGTACTTGTGGCACCTTAGAGACTAACAAATTTATTAGAGCATAAGCTTTCGTGGGCTACAACCCACTTCTTCGGATGCATAGGGTTTAATGAAAGGGTTACATTTATTTGTGCAGGAGACAGTGCTTTCTTAGGCTATGTCTGTACTACAAAGGTAAGTCGACCTATGTTAGGTCGACTTAGAGCCACCGCATTAATTACTGCGGTGGCTGATGTCCACACTACCGTTTCTGTCAGTGGTGCACGTCCTCACCAGGAGCACTTCCACCGACTGAAGGGGGGCAATGTGGGGGACTGAAAGCCAGGGCTCTCAGGTCCATGCAGCTCCCCACTGGGAGCCCCGCTGCCCCCTCAGGCTTCTCACCTCAGTACTCCCAGCCAGGAGCAGGAGGCAGCTGCCTAGGGCTTCTCACCTCTGGTGGGGAGATCCACACCCAGAGTCTGGTCAGCTGCCATGCTCCTAGCGAGCAGCCGACAGCCAATGTAAAGAATGCAGTGTCTACACAGACACTGCATTGCCCTAACTACACCGACATAAGCCCTACGTCTCTCGTTGAGGTGGTTTTATTATGTCTGCGTAGGAGGGGAGTTACATCAGCAGGAGAAGCATTTCAGTGTGTACACCTCCACTGTTTTGTCGACAAAAGATAAGCCCTCGGTTACTAGTACAAAACAGTGGAACTCCCACAGGAACAAAGAATTGCCTCAAACCTTTCCACTTTCCTTTCCAAGTAGAAGGCATGCTTACAAATAAATGCAAATAAACTAGGGCCCAGTTTAACCATTAGTCTAAGTTAGAGCAACCTCTGGGCTGCTTATACTATGTGCAGTTGCAGTAGCCCTCAAGGGCCCGTTCTGCATCCAGATTTACAACAGTACAGCTGTATTCAGGCAACCAACCCCTCCTTGACTCTAAATTACCAGTGATTCCAGCACTCCAGTAGAATTCTGAGCTGCCTCGTCTTTGCAGCCTGAATACCACTTGAGTCATGCAAAGGAGTGGGAATGGGGGCCAGACTCTGGTCCTGACTCTAGTCCTTTGTTTTTATTTTGGGCTTTGGTCAGATGTCTCTCCAAGGACTTGGACAGGAATGGCAGATTGATTTAAGTGGTATTCATCATGCTGCTACTTCCTCCTGGAAGTAGATACACACGTCTGTATGTATGTACTTCCTGGGAAAAGCTTTTTTTCCCTGGATCATTCTTGGTGTGGAGGGTCTTCACACTTGGAACCCAGACCAATAGGCAGTGGGGGTTCTATGCCTTTCTTACCAAGGTGGTCTTATAAATATGCCAAGCAAGAACCTTTTGGTGTATTGGTGCTGAAACACTTTTGGCATCAAATCGGTTTGTTCCTGTGGAACAAGGTGTGAGTACTCCCACAGTGCCAGGATTTTCCTCAGTGCTAAGAAAGTTCGTTCTACACCCAAAGGCCATTGGGTGTGGGCTCCTTGTTGGCACAATCTCTTCTTCAGCCTCAAGCAAGAACTCCTTTTAAGGTCACTTCTTTGTCATTTTTGGTTGTCTTACCAAGGGCAAGAAAAAGGTCCTAAAGGGTTTTTGGTACTGGAATTCTTAGCATCATCCTAGAAGAAAAAGGATGAAACATCACTAAGGCTATGTCTACACTTCACACTTTACAGCAGCACTTCTGTGCTACTACAGCTGTGCCGTTGTAAGGTACGCAGTGTAGCCGCTCTTTGTCAACAGGAGAGAGTTCTCCCAGTGACAAAATAAAAGCACCCCCAACGAGGTGCAGTAGCTTTGTCAGCGGGCAAGTGTCTCCTGCCAACATGGTGCTGTCTATACCGGCGCTTTTGTTGGTAAAACTTTTATCGGTTGGGGGGGGGGGGGGGGGGGGGGGGTTTGTTTTTTTTTTTTCTTCACACCCCTGATCGACAAAAGTTTTACCGACAAAAGTGCAGTGTAGACATATCCTAAGAGTTTAAGGCTGGTGTGCCCAGCATGGTGCTGCAGGTTATGACTACCCCTCTGGCATAGCCTGGGTTGCTGATTCATAGGATTCTAGGTATCTGTATGGGACCTTTGGCACAAAAAATATTGATATTAAGATCATCTCTTAAACAATACTTACCAGGTTTATAAATTCCCTTTGTCTAAAACAGGGCTGCCCAGAGGATTCCGGGGGCCCGGGGCAAAGCAATTTCGGGGGCCCCTTCCATAAAAAAAAAGTTGCAATACTATAGAATACTATATTCTTGTGGGGGCCTGAGGCCTGGGGCAAATTGCCCCACTTGCGCGCCCCCCCCCGGGCGGCCCTGGCCTAAAAAACAGTCGATCATCTTAAAGAATATTTTGTTTTGTTTAAAAGTTGGGAAGTATCATCAATGAAAGTATTTTAAGTATTTGGAGTGCAAATGAAAACTGATCTTACTTGAAACTTTGTTGTTAATGAATCTAGAAAATTGTGGGACATCTTTTGGTATCTTGTATTTTGAGAGAGGTGCATAGAGTACAGGTGGTGTTATATTACTGATATTTACAGAGATGATAAAGAAATACAGCTGTTGGTTTTTTAAAAGGCATCTGCATGGAATTTGCATTTATTTGTCCAATATAGGAAGCGTCACAGAAATGAAAGTAGCCCTAGTCCTCGTCCATCACCCAAGCGCCGCCGTGAGCATTCTCCTGATAGCGATGCCTACAACAGTGGAGATGATAAAAGTAAGTAGGAGTGCGTTGTCTCTGCCACAGTATACAGGCTAACTTGTAACTATGAAGAAGTTCCTTGCAATCTTAAATAGAAAATGAGGGATTAAGCTTTTCAAAGTGTCTTCATCTCCCTGTTTTTTCACTGTAAGGCTGTTTTTCTTGTAGAGTGGTGGGGCTATGTATTAGACATACTATTTATTCTATATGCTAATTTTGTTATAATGTATTGGTATTGTCCTGGGGCAGTAGCCCCAACATTTGTCTTTAAGAGGCATATCTATTAAAAGTGGAAAAAATCCATCGATACTGCAGCTGTTTAAAAGCTTGAAGAATGTAGCTGGAAATAATGGATTGTTTTGATTGAAACTTCCTTTGGTATGTACAGGATGCACAAAATGTGCATTCCCCCCCTCCCCCCCCGAACAATAAAAATATATATCTTTTCCACTTGTAGATGAGAAGCACAGGCTGCTAAGTCAGGTTGTGCGACCACAAGAATCCCGATCTCTCAGCCCCACGCACCTTACAGAAGACAGGCAGAGTCGAAAGCCAGAGAGAAAGGAAAGTTCAAGACGTTATGAAGAACCAGAGTTCAAAGAGAGGGTTTCTTCAGGAGATAAACAGAGAGAGCAGAGAGAACAAACAGAAGTCACTGAAAGCTCACGGACCAGGGTTCAAGAGAGCTTAGGACATCGCCCTTCTGAAGAACGAGATGCATCTGATAGAATACATGAGGAGAATAAGAAGAAAGCTAAAGTGCAGAAAAAGACCACAAAGAAGAAAAAAGATGATGACATCGGGGTGGAACGGTACACTGAGTCAACTGTAGAAGGGGGCCAGGTCTTTTCACCCAAGAAAGTTCCAAAAAAGAAGACTGTTGAGAAGAAACGTAAGAGGTCAAAGGGTGATTCTGAGGTTTCTGATGAAGAAATTGTCCCACACCATAAAAAGAAAAAAGGCCCAAGAACTCCCCCTGTAACAACAAAAGAGGAGTTGGTTGAAACAGTACCTGAGAAAGCTGTGGCAGTAGAAGCTGCTCCGAAAAGAGAAGACACAACATTTAGTGACTGGTCAGATGAAGATGTTCCAGAACGTGGTGAAATCATTGTTCCAGAAAGAAGCACTGAAGAATCCCACAGAAAAAGCCATAGACTGAGGGGAGAAAAGGTAGAAACCCCACATGTTACTATAGAAGATGCACCTCATCGCAAACCTGTGGATCAGAAGCGCAGCAGCAGTCTTGGTAGCAATCGAAGTCATACTTCAAGCAGACTTCGATCACCCTCCAATGAGTCAGCTCATCGCAGTGGAGATGACCAGACAGGTCGGAAAAGGGTCCTGCACAGCAGCTCCAGGGACAGAGAGAAAAAAAGCTTAGAAATCACCGGGGAACGGAAGTCTAGAATTGATCAGTTGAAACGAGGGGAACCCAGCCGCAGCACGTCTTCAGGTAATAAGATACTGTCTTTATAAAACAGATTTATATCATACTGTGTGAAAGTGAATAGACTCCACTTCCAAATCCTTCTAGCATGGCCTTAAGCTCTTGCTTTTCCTTTCATATCCAGTGAATCATCTTCTGCCTCCATAATAAAATTAGAGGGAATTGAATATTCCTTCAAATTATGATTTAAAACTCTTGGCATCAATAGGGATGGATTATCCCTTTGCTGAGCCTGGAATATTCAACAAGAAATAGCAATTTATGCTGTCAGAGTTAAAACATATTTGTGGAACTAATTAAACTTTTAAATTAGAAAAGCTCTTATGCTAACACAGAGCATAGTAGTAATTTTATTATATAAAATGTACTTTAACAATTATAAACAAATTGAAATTAAATTTTAATATTGAAATTATGCAATGATGTGCATGAAGTTAAATTTTACATGTTTCAAGGAGCTATGTTCAACATGGTTCCTGAGAGAAATTTGCAGTGAAGTCATTAGGTTGCGGCCCTTAATAGAAAATTTAATACAAATGAAAATCATCTTTGTCCTGAACCTAAATAATCAGTTGGAACTGAATTACTTAGCTTTATGCCTGTGGAGAGTGAGGAAAACAGGCAAGAAATTATTTAAGATATTAGGCCCCTTCATTGGAGTGCTACTGTTCTCATGAAACAAACTGGCTGTTGTAGAGCTCCAGCTTTCTTCTTGCTTCCTGTACTACATTATACATAACTTAGCAGTACTGAAAATGCTTTTCACCCACTTGGCAGATGGGGAACATTAGATGTTTGTCTGATAGAGACATCAGTGGATGTTCCTCCATGTGAAAAGAGAGCAGGGAAGAAGCAAGAGCAGCCTGGATGTTGTCAGGACAAAATTGGCATGGAAGACATACATTTGTGTCCCATACTCTGATTTATTTTTTAACCCTTTCAGACGGCAAATAATTTTTATGTTGAGACATAGTCAGCAGTCTGAGATTGCTGCTGTGGAGTTGAAAAACTTGACCTGACCCCTGACCAGATTGCATTGTTTTTCAAGTCTTTATTTGTCTTCTTGTTTGTTTCAGGTAGGCTGTTATACTGAAAAAATTTGATCTTGCTCCCGGGGGGATGGTCTTTTAGTTAAACTTAATTACTAAACCATGAACAGAGGATTCAACCCTCTAGGATGTTAAAATATATCCCCATATTATGTATCCATATTTTATTTACAGATTCCATTTTAAGGTGAAATCTCCATTACCACCTTCTGTGGTGGTGTTTCTGTTGTCCAAATTATTCCCTATAATCTTCTGATGAAAAAATGTGGCTGTGACTTCCAGTTGTTTCCTCAGGTGTCTGGACAAGCCTCCGGAGTCTTTTCCTGCTCTTTCTAGTCCAGTTCGGTTCAAATTAGGATAATAATCATACCAAGCTTCTCCTAAAACTTCTTGATTTAGCATCAAGAAAATACATGGACTTTGTGCCACGCTTTACATACTTGAACATGTCAGGTTTATAAAGGTTTGCCATAAACAAAAGAAAGTATTTTTTCAGACAACGCACAGTCAACCTGTGGAACTCCTTGCCAGAGGATGTTGTGAAAGCCAAGACTATAACAAGGTTCAAAAAAGAACTAGATAAATTCATGGAGGATAGGACCATCAATGGCTATTAGCCAAGATGGGCAGGGATGATGTCCCTAGCCTCTCTTTGCCAGAAGCTGGGAATGGGTGACGGGATGAATCACTTGATTACCTGTTCTGTTCATTCCCTCTGGGGCACCTGGCATTGACCACTGTCGGAAGACAAGATACTGGGCTAGATGGACTTTGGTCTGACCCAGTATGGCCGTTCTTATGTTCTTATAATAAGATACTGTCAAGAACACAAATATACCCATATGAAAACATCTCAAAATAAACAGCATTTACACATGCTATTTAAAGTTATGGATCTTTAAATCCAATAGCAAGCTTTTTATAGGTAATGGTTTCCTTTAAGTGATACTGGACAAAATGGAATATTTGTTTTAAACTTTCAAGAAGCCTTTAAATGGTTTTGCAGACAATTGGGCAGCAGTTACTTGGTCCTCTGTCTCTGTCCTGTACTCTTGTTGCTGGGCAGTGGTTGTGTGTGATGACCTGACACTACTGTCAGTCTTTCTACTGGGTCTTTAACTTCAGTGGGGGAAGAAAGCTATACTGGTAGCTCTTAGTGAATAGACGTGCCAATCTTTGTAATTTGCACATGCATAGGACCTTTCATTTAAAGATTGTTGAGGGCAGATAAGAAATGTATAGAAAATATTTTACCTGCTGTGGAAATATGGCCGTGTCTGTTTGAGTAAAGCTGTTTTAACATTTCATGCAGTGCTACAAAGTACTTGTAAGTGAAGAATACAGTATCTGAATGGAATTGCAAGGGGAAATTAGGCAGAAACCATTGCTTGATTTGAAATGGCTGATGATTACAACTGATCAGGTCATTAGTTTTCCTCTTTTATGGGTTAGAATGCACCCCCCACCAACACACTATTTCCTAGAACCATGCTGGAGAATTGGTTCAGTACTGACTCGGGGAAAATGCCAAACTTCTTGCCACTGTTGGGTATATCCTGGAGGGCCCCAGTCAAATGTCAATCCACATCTTGCTTAAATTTGACATATGATGGGATTACAGAACAAGTTTATTTGCCAGCCATGGCTTTACTGGATTTCAGAATGGCAAATTTTCAAAATGATGACACTTGTTTTCCCTTCTTTTGTTTCACATACAAAATACAGAAATACCTACAGTTTGATTTTAAAGAAGCAGTTTTTAGCTATTGAAAAATGGTTTTTTTTTGGGGGGGGGGGAGGAAGGTGATAATTAAGAGAAGTCATGCCCTTGAATAAGGTCAAATACATAGAGGTGATTTTTATGAAGAAATCTTCATTCTGTTATTCTTGCCCTCAAAGGTCTGTTTTGACATCAGAGTCTGTAAAACTGTTTATGATATTTTTGTCTGTTTTGATACAGATAAATGTGTACTGCATTCACTTGCTACAGTCATGTCTCTTTAATATTTTATTCAGATCGTCAAGATTCAAGAAGCCACAGTTCAAGAAGAAGTTCTCCTGAATCAGATCGTCAGGTCCATTCCAGATCTGGGTCCTTTGATAGCAGGGAGAGGCTTCAAGAACGAGATAGACATGATCACGATCGTGAACGAGACAGAGAAAGGAGGGATGGAAGGCCGAGAGAATGGGACCGGGATGTAGATAAAGACTGGCCACGGAATCGTGACAGAATCAGAGACCGAGAGCGAGAGAGGGAAAAAAGAAGAGACTTGGACAGGGAAAGAGAGAGACAACTTCCTGATACTACTGAAAGAGACAGAGACAGGGACAGAACGCTTGACATTTCTTCTCAAACAGAGACAACAAAGCGCAATGAACCAAAACTGGACAGGGATCATGAAAAGGAATCTGATGGGGTTTGCCGGGATACTACAGCTTTGGAGAAGGAAAGGACAGAAAAGGACTTGGGAACTTCACAAGGATTTGAAGATGGAAATGAAGCTGAGAAAGTGGAGAGCTTAGAAGGTGAGATGTTCTGGAACAGAAACTAGTGTGTCAATTATTTTACGCCTTCCCCTTTTAACATAACATCAAACTACAGTAATTAGAATAATTTTCTACGGAAAGGTCACTCTCTGATATGTAGATTGGCTCCAGCTTTTCCACTGTGGAAGCCGGTACCCTGAGACATAATCCCTATGAGCAGCTTTTTTAGCATGTGCTTCGTTAATTGTGTACTTCCAAAGCAGTCTTGAGACAAATAAACATAAATGAGACAAGGTAAAATTTGCTTAGGCACCAAATTTCTGAATAGTCAGGTGGTTTAAAGAACAAAAATTCCCTTTTCTTCATCACCCCTTTACACCATTAGCCTTTTTCTCAGTGTGGGAGTGACAGCTGTGGAGGATATTGGTAAGAAGAGTTAAAGGGGAAAACTGTAGAAAAATAGAAAGCATTTTAGGAGAAGAAAAATTGATGACAGTCTTATATTTTCCTTCATTTTAAAAAATGTTGCATCATTAAAAGATGTCTCAATCATATTATTTTTTTCCACAGAGCCAGTTGCCAGAGAACTGCCGATGGTATAATTTTAAGATGTGTATAGTTCTTAGCATATAGATAGGTCTTGTCCAGGAATAACTTCAGAAAAGTAATTTTATTCAACACAAATAAAATTTGCTAGTTTTTCTGGCTCTGAAAAAATATGTGCTTGGTTTAAGAAACAAAGGTAATATAGACATGGGCAGCCACTTAAATCGAAAACTACATTTAAAACCCACTGAGGAAGAGCTGAACTAAGTAGCTTGAGTCTTGCCCTTAAGAGAGACTGAATTGTCTGGTTCATTATGAAGCAGGGAAAAATTCCATAACCTATTTGGAAAATCTAAAAAAGCAAGCACAAATTTGTGACTGAATAAGAAACTGTATTCTCAGTGCATGTTTCGTTGACATTCAATACATTCTTTCTGCTATGTTTATATTGTCCATACCATCTCCCAAAGGATCACATACTTTCCTTCCCTAATTATTTTGTCACTCAGTTTTTCCTGGTTGTATTGTATTTTTTTTAGCAGTCTGAAATCTGTTTATATTTACCTTTTTTAATTACAGCATAGTTTTGTCTTAATTTATATCTTTTCCTAGACACAGAATAAAAAACAATTCACTTCCAGTGATTCAAAGCAAAATATTTCTTAAAATGGGAACTAAAACAAAAGGGTGATGCACATTCTTTCTACTGTTCTTTCTCCTGATTATTACCTAAGAACTTTGGTTGTTGGGTTTGAATTATGGCTCATGCACATTTTATGAAACAACATATGTGGCACACAAGGAGGTCATTCGACTTTTGAAAATCAGAAAATATCTGCTCTACTCAAGCATGTAGTTGAGAAAAAATGTGAACTGGTGTGTTCAGTAGTACAGTATTCATAGGGTCTACTAGAAAATAGAGGATGTATCATGAAAATCTGAAGTTTGTTATGCAAGTATTGACACTGAAAATTATGATGAGATCCAGAGTGAAATTTAGTGTAGATTCTAAAAATTTCCCTTTAGAGAGAAACGAGTGTGTATCTTAGTACAACTTTCAACTCTGATGTTGGTGCAGCATCAGCTGTCTTGTTCTGTTTAGGCTACAGTCATTGTGTATAGGCCTAACATAAAATGTGTCAGGATTTAATTACTTAATTATGATTGTGTGTTGAACGTTTAATGTGTTTGCTTCAAGTGAAGACTTTAATGATACCAGAGATGCTGTGCTCCCTTCAAAGCAGTGACAGATGTTCTGAGTAGTTAATTTACACTCTTACTATTGTCTTTCCCTTAGTTTTCTGCATTGATTTCTAATTTCTTAATGTACCAAGGGCAAACAAACTGTACCCTTGGATGCAGCTTCCACACAAGGAGAATTTCACTTCTGGGCGAAAAGGACAGGTGGCAGTATTTCTGCTACACTCTGCAAGGAGAGGGTATCTGTACATTCCAGCTCTTTCTTGATCAGAGTCCTGCTGGCAGAGGCCGCTCACTCAGTGGATTGAATCAGTACATCTCCTAGGTGCCCAGATCCAGAAAGTCTACTCCGGCTCGTAGATGCTGTCTTTGAGGTGACTTATGGAGTGGATGGCCACCAGTTGGCTGTACACATCCTTATCTGGATTGTGGGAACCCATCTGGAGTGTGGGTTGCACGTGGGCGGTGCTGGTGCATAACTGCTTTGGGTGGACTTTCAATCCCAGAGGAGAGGCAGAGTCCCAGCCATTTCTCCATGGGCCGCAAGATGACCTAATTACAATAACTTATGACATCAGTGTGGTGTTTCTAATTCAAGGATCAAATTTAGGGGTGATGTGTAAGGTAGTATAGGTTGCAAATTATCAAACAAGTGAAACAGAGATTAAGGGAACCTGGTGTAACCTTCTTCAAGCTCCTTGCTATAGCTTCTCAGAAAGGGGCTTGAAAGTGTAAGATACACACACCTACCTTCATGTAACTTACACCGCTTTCTGTATTCCTTTTAAATTTGATCCTGAGTATGCATGCTGCCTAACATTGCACAAGTAGAAATTGACTTGAGCCAAGTTAAATTCAAGGGTTTACTATCTGTCAGGTGGGAAAAATTATTTGACCACCCGCAGAACTGAACAGCTTCTATCAGTGTTGAATGTGCTTCCACAAGAAAGCTATCAGGTTTATTTGCTCAAGCCTATACATGCTGTAGCCTAGTTATCAGGATACTGAAATATTAAAAAATGACAGTTTTTAAGCTTGCAGTGCATGTCTGTTTCTGTAGGAGGAGAAGATGAGGCCAAGATAGATGATGTGCAGTCACTAGGGTCTGCTGCTGGAGAATATGAGCCAATCAGTGATGATGAACTAGATGAAATTCTGGCAGGTGATGCTGAAAAGAGGGAGGATCAACAAGAGGATGAGAAGATGCCAGGTAAAATATATAGCAAATCCCTTTTTACTAGTAGTTGAATGCAAAAATTGGACCAGTTGACTTAATGATAAGTGTCTTTGTATCCCATTCGTTATTTTACTAGGGAACTGGTGTGTTTAAAAGGGACAGGAAATTTTAGAGATACTGTAATGGTTCCAAGATTCATATTTTTCAATGTATCTTAATGAATTGACTGCCTATCAACCTATCCAAAGTAGGAAAGGCATTTCATGCTAAATCCTGTGGATATGTTCATGCTGGCTACAATATACCTGCTGTGTTAGACAAAAACACAGCTCCAGTTCTGTCCAGTAAATCACGTCTCCTTAAAGAGCAGATGTATTTTATTGCCTGCACCAATGCTACAGCAGAGAATAGCAGCCAAAGGTCTAATCTATACACCAATCAGTTAAATATTTTGAATCAGGTCCATTGTAGTGTGTTCTTAGTTGTACTATGATTTCTATGCCTAATGAAGCGACTATTTCCAGACCCGCTGATTCAGCAGAGCCCAAGCAGTCTCTTCATTAGGAGGTTTCAAGAATATTAAAAACAGAAATTGGGTTTTCTTTTTAAATACAAGCAGGAGACACAGATTTTGGAGGAATCCCTTAATCCAGTTTACCACCACCATCATGAGTTTGACACCATAATCTAAATTCTGAAGTACGAAAGAATTCACCTTTTGAGAGGGCTTCTGAACAATATTCAGCTGATTTATACTACCTTCAAGACACCAGATGAAGCTAGCCATTCATAATAAGGGATGATGATGTGATAGCTCATTCTCCATTGTATCTTTTTGCAGATCCTGTTGATGTAATAGATGTGGATTGGTCCAGTCTTATGCCAAAGCAGCCAAAAGAGCCACGGGAGCCTGGGGCGGCACTCTTAAAATTCACACCATGTGCTGTTATGTTGAGAGTTGGCATTTCCAAACGACTGGCGGGCCCTGAACTCTTCACCAAAATTAAAGAAACCTGCCAGAGAGTTTTAGAAAAACCTAAAGGTAATTCTGTTTCCCGCGGGGATAAAATTCCATCCCAGGATTAGTAAAGTGGCAAAGCCCTGGCTGGGATGATTTAGTTGGGGTTGGTTCTGCTTTGAGCAGGGGGTTGGACTAGATGACCTCCTGAGGTCTCTTCCAACCCTAATCTTCTATGATTCTATAAAGTGTCTTTGAAAAGAAAGAACTAGTAAGCATTATAGTTTCAAAATGCACATAGATTTTATGTTGATACTTGCTGGTATAAGTATATATTTGTATTATTGTAGTGGCTCCATTGATTTAGGTTGATTTGTGTTTAACTTTTTCACCTATTCATATACATGGATCTCTTGCTTCTATTAGTGAATTGAAGTACAAAAGAAAGAAAACCCCTTTTGGGATTCTTGTTTGTTTATCCATTTTCTAGCAAGTGATGGAATTTAAATCTCTAGTCTTTATTTAGTTGGTTCCTCCCCATCTACTATTTACAACTGTTTCCTCTTAGGACCCAGGTGCTTAGCTGTGAAACATGCTCTTTGAGCAACAGCATCTGGTACCTTGGCAGACTCCTGGTTACAGGCAGGCTTTGAAGTTGCCTTTTGGTCTGTCATTTACTTGAGTTCCTGATTAGCCATCTGGATTGTCTTGGCAACTTCATTGTTATTTTCTTTGACCCATCCTTGATTCTGAATACTTTTTTACTTTTATCTTGTCTGAAAAATGTCCTGCTCAGCTTGGTCAAAAGATCACTTTGTAAGTGGATTAAAAAATGTGTCCCCGTGTCCCTGTATGCATTCTGCCTAGATCTCTGCAGTAGCCTTCAAACCTTTATCTGTTAGACTTGTCCCAGGTCTCTTGCTTTTTACAGTGCCATATGTGAGACTTCATGTAAAATGCTCATGCTCTCTGCCAAGCACCAAATAAAACAGTTTTTGATATTTAGATGTCACTGAATTGTACCTAAGGCCATGGTTTTTTTCTGTAGTATATCACATTGGTCTTTGTAACGTAAGTTTTTCGGTCACACTGTTATGCTTTAGTATGTTATCCTTTTGTTTTTACATTAATCAGAGATGGGTTTGGATACATCCTCTCCTTTTTATTCTTGGATTGATGGCAGTGTTATCTGGGTTAGAGGTTGTGACCTAGAAAAGATTAGAAAGAAGCTCAGGTCCAAATCCACACTTCTCTGTGATTCCCCCAAGAAAAAGCAGTGGCAATGGGGCTGGCCTAATTGTTTTGCTGCTGCTGCCCACTGACACTTCTGGCAGAGATATTATACAGAACATAGAGGAAGTATTAATGCTTCCATTCCAAATAGCATTAACAGGGTAGTTTTTGGGGGGTGGGAGCGACTCATAGGAAGAGTGTGCTGGTTAGAATATCTATTTCCTGACTTGTTCTCCATGGTTCCTGGGCACCTTTTTGCCATCCTTTTTGCAGAGAGAGAAGTGGCAACTGCACTAAGGAAAAGGGAAATATTCTACATCTCACATCTGTTTAGCCACATCTGGCCCATTTTGATGGTGGTGTACCCATTGGTCATACACAAAAGGGAAACATAGGACTTTGATTAATGCCAACTTTGAACCCCCTTGTCTTCACACCCACTCATCTGATCATGGAGGAAGGCCATTCTAGAGCTGTGCCCAAGTTTTTAACCCTCAGTTATGACTGCCATCATAGTCCTTTCCCTCCAGTGCGGAAGGTGAAAGCACACTCATTCTAGACTCTTCTATTTAATGCTGCTCCACCAATCAGTGGAAAGGGTGAAGTGAGGAGCTGTTGTTTGTATTCTTCTCAGAGGTCAAGAGTCACCTTGTCTCCTATTTCCTCTAACACTGAGTTCAATTTTGGGCAAGAATTTTAGAAATAATACATGACTAGGGAGTCTGTAAATCATATGTGAGAATTTTTACCTTCAATAAATTCACTCTTCTGTGGGACAAAAAATATTTCACAGTCGGCAAAGTTATTCTTGTATATGCTGATCTCTTTGTAGATGCAGAAAATCTGTTTGAACATGAACTTGGGGCCCTGAACATGGCTGCATTACTGCGAAAAGAAGAGAGAGCAGGTCTTCTTAGTAACCTTGGTCCTTGCTGTAAAGCCCTGTGCTTTAGAAGGGATTCTGCAATTCGCAAGCAGCTAGTGAAAAATGAAAAGGCAAGTGCATGGATTACATAAAGCATTCAAAATATAAGAACATGAATTGTCTTTGCCTTCAAAATATTTCTACAATGATATAACCCTTTCTTCTGATATAGTTTACATGTTATTGCTGGTCTATTTTTCTGTTCTCACCTCCCTGCACGCACAAATAATTAGACTTGGCAGAATTTGATTATTTTTTTTAAATTTCAGTGGATAATATCAGTGTTTATATTTAAGCATTTTTTTCAATATATATTGATTTAAATTTTCACAGTTGTGCAAAATTAAGGGAGTGGTCAGGTCAGACTGTAATTGGCAGCAGATGTTGACATTCACAAAATTGAAGTTTTATAACCGTTAAAACACAGGTTGTCAACATCACGTCAAAACATACAAAACCAATATCCTTAAATCAAAGTGATTTCTCAAGCAGCTTTTTTTCTTTCTTTTCCTATCTGTACTTTTTGATTATTGATGGAAATATTTTTTGTCTGTGTGCGGTGAAATCAATGTTTACTGACCAAAATCTAATGGAGGACGGACTTCCATTGGTATTAAGTGGTCATGGGATTTTTATTTTACTTTAGCCTAAGGGATTAATTTCAGATGTGTGACTAGGGGTGAGTGCTCCCTCGTATGCTAGATTTTATTTAAATTCCGGGAACACGCTTTTATAAAGGCAGAATATATAAATTAAAATAATTTAAAGAAATGTGGTTTCAGGGATGGTTTTTGAATAATCCCTTGATGTTTTTGGATTCTATGGGCTTTTGTACAAATAATGTTTGTAAAAGTATAGTTTTCTAGTTTAGGAATGTTACTAAATATTTGTTCCTGTAAAATGTTTTCTCTAAGGATTTGTCAGTTGTCACATGCTGAATTAGGTTTCCTGACTTTGCATGTCAATAGAGAAGGCAAAATGACTGTTAGAATTAATGCTAGGAGGAGCCATTTCCAAGCACATACGGTTATTATTTAATTATTGAGGGAGTCTAATATCTCAGCCCACTTGTCAAAAAGCCACTAATTTTTCTTTCTTCAATCCAAACAGGGCACAACAAAACAGACTTACACGAATTCCCCAGTAGTAGACAGTGACTTATTAAGGTTGAGTCTACGGTTATTTAAACGCAAGACTCTGTGCCAAGGTCCTGGGCAGGAAAAGACAGAAGATAGTAAACTTCCACAACCAAATATCCAGCAGGAAGTATGTGTGTCTTAAGCCAATGTCCACTTTGGAACTCCATCTAGTTTATCTCCCATCAGTCATGTTGATATTTATACCCTTTGAACTTTTTGATTTGGTTGGAAAGCAGCTGTAAGACACTGAAGAAAAGACTGTTTTTACAGGTAATTCTATTATGTGTTTGGAGGGAATAATTAATAGTAAAAATACAAAGATCTTTGTTTTCAGTTCATTTCAACTTTTATAACATTGAATCTTACAATGTAACATATACCCGTTTTATGCATCAAGTGTAATAATTTCAAGATGTCCATTTTTAGAAGTCTATTACATCACCTGATATTAAAGGAAGAAGAAAACTGTCTGTGTATCTTTTTTTCTCCATTCTGAAATAATTTTTCATGGGACCAGTAATTTATATATTATTACAGATACTTAAAAACAATGTGACCGTCAACATGAAATCAAATCCAGCCTTTTTTAGGTAGCTCTGCATAAAGGCAACACATTTTTACCATAATGCTTTCCTAGTGTGTAGGCATCCAGCTCTCAGTTATGTACAGCAAAATGCTAGTAGTGTAGCTTTTAGCGAATCATATTATTTTTTTAAAGAAAATATGCAGCTTTGTTGTATGCACATGTGTAGGTATATTTATACCTGTATAGGGTATGCCTTTGTATAAGTTTTACCGTTTTGGTTTTATGCTTATTAAAGTAAAACATGGCCCATTCAAAACTTACGTTCTTTCTATCTCTTTCACGTTAACATTTTTGGGGGCTTATATTACTTTAATTCTGTTGGGGTCTTCCCCATGTGCTTTATGAGCAATTAATCTCTTTTTGTGATTTAATGTGTATTTTAAATACACACCAGTAGTCTAAACTGAGCAAGAGTTAACGTGCCTGTTCTGTCGAGGCTTTAAAAGTGCTCTAGCTTATTTTATAGCTACAAGGCAGCCTTTGAGCTGAATGTATTAAATCATAGCTTCCAATTGTGTTAGTCTATTTTAATCTCCTTTTCCAAAACACACACACTTTATTGCTAAAAACAGTCGTGTGAGAGACTGCAGTACACAAAATAGATTCACTGTTTGGTATTTAATTACAATGAACTTTCTTTATTCACCTTCCCTATAAAACAGTCAGGGTGTGTATACACATTGAACGTGTAGAAGAATATTTTTCACTTTTCCCTATAAAGAATGCAAAATAGAGTAGGTCTGATGGGCTAGTGGTGGAGTGTTTCACTCAGTGGCTGTTTGCATTAAGGGCCAAATGCAGCACTGACACACGTGTGTGTGTGTGTGTGTGTGTGTGTGTGTGTGTGTGTGTGTGAAGATACCCCTTCATCTAATGGTATTGCATGAAATCAGCACTGAATTCAACCCTAATAATCAAGTATGCTCTTTTGCTTCCAGTATGACAAAAAATGTGAGTGCTGTGGAGAGGCTTTGCTTTGCCTGTGAATGTAGAAGTGCATTACAGTGCTCTGCAGGAAACCTGGATGCTTTGGGAGTAGCAGTGAGGGACTCTGAAAAGAGTTCTATGCAACCTATCTCAGTCATTGCAACAACAGGCCCCAAAAAGTGATGTGAATGTGTTTATAGGTGGGGAAGTCCTCTGGTTTTGGAGAACATAAGAGTTTCCAGGAATCCTGTCTGAGAGAGGCCAATTCAGAATATAAGTTACAAAACCCTCATAGTGCATTTAGCTAATTTTACAATAATTTAGGGAAGGGGAATTTCACTTCTGTCCACTGGCTGTAAAACTTTTAGTCTAACTCTATTTCCTGAACCATTCCTAATGTTATCAGGGATTGCATCAAGAATAGCCTCTCATCTTTTATGAGCCTTGCTGTTCCAAGAAACAATTTTTTTATGCCATTACAAACTGGTTTTGCTAATTTGTGTCCTGAAGTGACATTTCTGTAGCTGAAGTGGGTTATTGTAATGATTCTAGCAGTCTCCTCAAGTTCTTTCAGTGGTGACTCATTACCATCACTTTCAGTGTGGTGTGATCAGTCATATGCGCACACTGTACAGTATTTGTATTCTAACCTGGAATTTCTATTAATATGCAGTCCACCCTATTGATGATATACCCAGTGGGTGCTAGGAGGTTTTCAGGCATCTTTTTTTTTTTTTTAAGAAAACACTAAAACAATCCTGGCTCTGAAAAGGCTTTAGTGCAGTAGTTCTCAATTTGCTGCCTGTAGGCCACTTGCAGCCCAATCAGCACACAGCTGTGGCCCATGTGACATCCTCAGTACCATACAGGTAGTATATATATGTGTGGATGCTGCCCACGTTCTACACAGAGGGCTGCATATGGGGCCCACAATGGTAAATAGGTTGTGAACCACTGCTATAGTGTATACCAGATATAGTGAGTGTGAGCAACAACCAATGAGATAGGAATGTGATAAAATTAGTTCCATTTGGTTACTCTTCTGGTCCTTTCCATTCAGAAATTTTTCTTTTGGGCATTTATAGAATCCTTATAACTGGTTGTCTAAATCTTTCCTGCTATAATACAGATTGCTGCAAGGCTACCAACTTCTTTTTCAACGACGCATTCGCCCACTGATTACTTCTAAAAAAAATATTCTAGAGCCAACTAGGAAGGTCTCCATTGACTGGAGTTTGAGAGCCATAGCATACCTCCTGGTACACCCTCTAGCCCTGTGGTTAGCACATTCACCTGGAATGTGAAAGAGCTCGGTTCAAGTCCCCACTCTGGGTCAGAGCAGAGATTTGAATTTAGGCCTCCCATAGTGCAAGTGAGTGCCCTAACCACTAGGATTATTTTGGGGTCTAGCTTCTCTCTCTCTCCGCTGTTGGAGCTGTTCCTCTTTGTGTAAATACTTGAATATTCATTGGCACTGAGAGAGAGACTCTATAGCCTGGTGACTAGGGCACTCACCCAGGAAGGGGCACCCAGGTTTTGGTTCCTGTCATCTTGGAAAGCACTTTGATTCTGTTACTGGATGTTTCTACAGGCTTCAAGGTAGATTATGAAAATCTCTATCCAGCCATCACCTGTGGGACTGATATATTTCTCAGACTCAGGTCTTGGTCTCCCCTTTTTATTGAAGCTCTTCAGAGATCTGCATAATCTTCAGAGATGTTCTGCTCATTTACATCTTCATTATCTCATGATAGTAGAAATCCCATATTTTCCTAGGCTGTTTCCTGTAAGAAACCTAAGGGATCCCCTTTTGTCCTATATCCCAGGCCTCTGAGCAGTCTCAAACATTCTTGAGTTGAAGAATGATCTAGTAGTTAGGGGACTGGCCCAGGATGCAGATGATCTAGGTTCAATTCCCTGCTTTGCCAGGGACTTCCTTTGTGACCTTGAGCAACTCATTCTCTGTGTGGCTCAGCACCCCACTTGTAAAATGAGGATACTTCCCAACCTCATAGGGGTGTTGAGGATAAATATATTAAAAAGATTGTGAAGTGCTTGGAGATCTGATGAAAACTGCTATATAAGAAATAGGCATTATTATAACTTTTTGTTACTCACCCTGGTTTCCACCTCTGTTGTTATATGCCCTTCCTGTTTGGGATGCAGTCTTGGCCTTACTGGTCAGTGTGGAATCCTCAACATTTTCCAGCTCCTCCTTCATCTAGATCCAAGTCTAGGAATAGCTCATCTCCTCCTAAGGAACCATTTAACCAAGGGCTCGTCCAAGAATCTGAGCAAGAGTCTCATTCTGTAAAGGAAGATCTTGTGGCGGAATATGAGACTCAACCCTTTCCCTTGGCTATATCATCTTCATCCCCAGATGAAGTGGTAACTCCATCTGCTGCTTTGGCAATAGATAATTTCAAGGCCTTTCAGGACCTGCTTAAAAGAAGGGCAGAGATGTTAAAGAAACTCCTCAAAGTCATTAAAGTAAGGTCTCCTACATTATTTGGCATTTTACATCCAGTTTCCCAAGGCTTGCTTGGCCAGGCCAATCAATTAGGGTATTCTTGAGCCTGCTAAAGATATGTGACAAACCCATGTGCCATGTAGCTTAAAAAAAGCAGATAATAAATTCCAAGTTCCCCATAAGGGGTTCAAATATTTCTTTTAACACCAGTCCCTGCCTCTGACACTGCAGCCAAGACTACGGCTACTGCAATAACTATGTGCAGAACATTGTGGCTGCACTTGTCAGAGGAAGGGACTGGATGTGAACAGAAATATTCAAACCCCTTAGGGGGAACTTCTCCAGATCTTGACCAAGAACCTGCCTTTTGAGAGCCATAATCGTTTCAACTCTGACTGACCAAGCACTTCCTTCTTTGAAGGGCTTGAGAGGAAAACCTTTGATCTCTTGACCTTTATGCTCCATACCAGAAGAAGATGCAGTCTATACCCTCTCATCCCTCTCAAGATACTTCCTATGCCCTTCGACCAGTACCATCAGAGGGCTCCTGATCTGCATAAGAGACCTAATTCCCAAAAGAAAAGAGGCCCTCTGTCTGCAGGCACTATTCACTCTTCATCAGGCCAAAGGCCACAGGATTGATGCCACAGTTGAGTTGTGGACAAGCTTGTGGAGATCTATACCCCTTCCTCCATCCCTTTGGGAATTGCCTTTCTTTTTTGTGGATGTGTAGGCAACACTTACTACTGACCAGTGGGTGTTCAAAGTTTTCCAGGAAGGATTTTCAATTCAACTCAGCACCCCTCTACCTTGTCCCTCTTCCGAGACATTTCCCATGACTGTGTTGCAGGAAGCGAGAGTTTTTTCGTCAGTGGGGTGTGACTGAGACAGTGCCTCCAGCATCTTGCAGCAAACAGTTCCTTTCCTAGTACAGTACTTCCTCAATCAAAATAAATAAAAGGGGGGTTGGCATGTCACATTAGACCTCAGACATCTTGACATTCATCTGTTTAAAGTTTCAGCTGTTAACCTTTTTTGTCAATTCATTCACTAGATCCCATGGCCTGGTTCACAGCTCTCAGCTTGCTTGAATGTGGCAGTCCATCCAGTTCAGTGGAAGTTTCTACGTTTCATGCTTAATAGACATTATCAATTCAGAGTTCTACTTTTGTCCTTTCATCAGTCCCAAGGGTGTCTTCCAAATGCCTTTCAGTGGTAGCAGCTCACCTGAGGAACAAGACCTTCATGTATACCCATGTCTTGATGACTGATAGATTTGGGACGCACTTATCAGCAAGTCATCAGACATTCATATGGCACAGTCTTTCATTCATTCATTGGGTTCAAGATCAATCAAGAAAATCCACTCATCTCAATCAATAGTTTATAGGG